CCTCCGAAGCCCCCGCGGAGTCTTGCGCTTGACCGAGGTCGCAAGCCGCGCACGTGGCAAAGCCGTGGCTTCCTTGGAGCATCATGTGGCGCCGACGATGCTTTTCTTCGCCGTCGCCTTGCTCTTACATCCTCGTCTGTGAGATGCTGTGTATCACTCCTGGGGTAACTTGTCGATCTTGTAGAGACACATCTGAATCTTCATTGCAGTCCCTTCGCAAAAAGTGTTTTGCCTTGCCCGAGACAGAAAAGGCAAGATTAGTTCTCGATGCTCGCTTGAATTGCCGAAGCAGCTGCCGTCCAGTGCGTAGCACATGCCCAGCCCTTCGACAGTGAACGCGGTGCCACACCAGTCTTTGTCATCTTGGTCCAATGTACTTTCAGCCTTGTGCTATGCGCAGAAATAGGATGCGAGAATTTGTTGTTGTGGTTTGGGAGTTCTCCCCTCATGTGCATGGAAGTCTGCAATCTTCCGCCATTCACTGAGCCTAGTGCACCTGGACCCGAAGCCAACACCATTGACCAAAGCATGTCTGAGACTTGCGACAGCAGAGGTCTCAGCACTGGTCCCAGCGGCCTTGGGCCAGGTGACCTTGACGGCTTAAGCTGGAGCTTGGGTTTGGGCTTGGCAGAAGTCATTGGAGTTGCCAGCCTGCGAAACATTGTTTTGGAGTTTGGTGTTCACGTCACCGGCCGGCTGCCTCCTTCTTCCTCTCGTCCTGTTTTATCTCATTTGTCAGGTCCCGACCGTCAGCGTGACGTCATTATCCTTCGCGGACAAGGCGACAACCGACGAGCATCAGCTGCTTCGCATTATCACACGAAGTTCCAGCATGCGAGCGGTTGCATGTTGCTTCTTAAAAAACTCGATAGCAAGGACCTGTTGGAAAGACCACCGACGAGATAGACTTTCGATGCAGCCGAATCTTCAATACCACAATTCCCGACGTCGACAGATACCGCAAAGTGGCTCAACTCACCAGGATCTGGATGCCAACGAGCTCGGAGGCCCAGTCACTTGGCAGCCGCCCGGGAGCACCGCCACAGCCGGGAGGCTCAGTAAAGATCGTCGGATGTTCTAGTGCTTTGAGAGCCTCACAGTTTTGAACCGCCGACGCCAAATTCTGTGTCGTTTCTTTCAACAGCCTCTCGCGATGTACTCGTACGGACATGTTGGCTCTGATGGCGATTTCGCTGTGACCCATGTTAACCACAGGGCAAGACACATCAAAAGCCAGACCCAGCTACTAAGTTCAGGTCACCCACTACGATGTATACGTGGCCACGGACTCCGCGGGAACCGCTCGCTCTGCTGTGGCGGGCTTGGGCCAAGGTCCTGCATTTCAGGTTACTGGTCGCTGGGTACGGGTTTCTGTATCCGGGTTCATCCAGGTTCATGAAAGCCCTGAACCTCCGATGCCATTACCGAAGAACTGTGCGCAGCAAACACATACACTGAAGCAAGCCCTGTTCACGAATGTTCTCCGTTCGGCACGGAAGCATGCAGACTGTGATGAATACGCAGAATGCGCGGCTGGCTTTGGAGCATTTTTCGCCTCACAGCTTCCCAGGTGGTGTGAACGTTCAGTATTTCAGTGAAGAGCTCGAAGGTCAAGATAACACAACTCCAGCAAAGAGCGAAACGGAGTTTGCAGCTCTTCTTCCGCAAGTTTGTACACGTCTCAATGTCTTGGGCTGGGCGTGTGTACATGCTCCTGCACGGTAGATGTTCTTGCCTCGCGATCCCAGTAGCCACGTTGTTTTCTGCGCTTGCGACTGAGGTCAGCCTTAATGTGCCCGTTGGCACGAACTCGGCTACGGTGGCTGACAATACAGCACTGGGCTCGTGCGCAAGAGTCCACAGTGGTCCTGGCAAGACAAAGTTTTGCAAGTTCAAGGGTTGAACGGCGTCCATCTGCAGTGCTCGAGCGTGACCGGAAGAGGTGGAAGGTAGAGTGTAGCATTGAGGCGCGGCTTTGGGTTGCAATGGAACTGCATCCCTGCAGTTGCGGTGGGCTTGTCAAAGACGTGGGATGTTGCGGGAGGTACTCACATCTCCTGGTGTACACGGCCAACGGGAACGGCCAGCAGGTGCACCATCATGCTGCATGACGAGAGGCTGCAAACTTCGATGTTGCTCCATTTCGGCCCGTCTAGTTCTGGGTTCCAGCTGCAGGGTTTACACGGGCAGAGTAGCTACAGCCCTAGCAATGCAAGAAAAGCCGACCATGGGATGCGCCAGGCTACCAAGACTGACAGCATACATCCTCCCGCTTGGGTTGCAGTGACAGAAGGTGATACCCGTGATTCCTCAGTCTGCAAAGCCGCAAGAGTTGGCTGCACCAGCAAGAGACTAGATGCCGTTGCGATTAGTCTTCGGATCCCTACACCAGTCTTCGGCCAGGCTGCGCCCAGTTCTGTGGCATTCTCCGACTCCGATGCTTCGGTATCTTCTCTGGTGCGCAAGGGCGAAACGGGAGTTCTTGGTGGGAGGGCGCCTTGTTGTTGTTAGGGTAAGCCCGGTACCTCAAAATGTGCAATCCGGTATTGAGAAAACCGGCACCGAGAGGGTGTCCACATGTCAGTGATCGGTCCTTGCTGGCGGCGACTGGGAGCATTTTCTCGGAGGAGGCAGAGACAAGCTTGGCCCGGCAACTGTGCAGTGGGTGGGCCCGGTAGTAGGCCTTGCAGACTCTTTGATTCTGATAACTATCAAGGTGTTCCGAACGAATAACTCCCAGATAGACGGGTGGGAAGCTGATTGCTCAGTTCCACAGGCTTTTGAAGACCTGGACTTGGACAACGTAGCCATCGGAGGAGATGTAACGTGAGCCACTGAGATCCACTGAGCCCGCAGGGCCTACCTTGCTGAACCCCAGATCTGCTGCGCCTGTCACACCCTATACAGCCCCCGCCGTTCAACCAACAGCGTGTGGGAACTGTGCAACAACGTTGCAGTGTCTGGCGACCTTCGCTTGCTCTAAACTCGCGCTCACATTCTCCCTAAGGTGGTCACCACCCGGAGACGTGTCACAAACTTCGCACTACGACCCCCGACTGCATCTTGGAGGTTCTTGCATGTGTTTGGCTTCCTTGAGGATATGCTGCAGACATGCTGCATCTACTGTAGGATGTCACGTGAAAGCACTCGCGTGCAGGGTGACAGCAAGAGCTTCAGGTCGTGTACCTTAGCACTGACACAGCCGGCACTTCACGATCGCAGGCAAGGGGCTTGAGTCTCGTCAGTCTGATCTCGCAGATTCCCGTGGGCACTTCTTGAGCGGACAGCTGTATTTTCAGAGTCGGTTCACGCTCCCAGAGCTGGCGAAGCTCCTCGCCGAAGAGAAGAGGACGCGACGCGACTGCGGCGACGAGTCAAAGTGTTCCCCTGCCAGGTAGGCACGGCCGCTGCCGGGGTGCCCGGAACGGCCAACTATGGCCAACTCTTTGCGCTGCGGGAACATGCTCGTAGCCTTGTGACCGGTTGCACGTTTCATCAAGCAGATCCTGCAGGAGTGGTTTCACATATTGACGAGCGCAGTACCGTAGTAGTTCTTCGTTAGAGTCATACTAGAGGGCGGACAGGAGTGTCTCAATGAGGTTGGCTCGAACACCTTTGTCATTCCTGTCGACACTCTGCGATTTCCATACACGCAGGCGGGGTCCGAGTCCGAACCTTCCATCTGACAATCAGAAGCCAATAAGCGCAAAGCCGTGCCTCGAAAGCCGCTTCAGGGAGTCCCATTAGAAACCCTGTTGTTGATCTCCTGTGTCTCTGTGACTTTCGCATGGTTGCAGGCCTTCTTCTTGCATTCATGTGCATGTGCGCCTCTCCTAGTTTTAGTCAGAACCTATCTTATGATGCTATAATTTGGCTTTAATGTAGACACAGCAACCAGTGCTATGTTGATTGCCCCGAAGATTCACGTGCACACGGCCTCCTCTTCCGCGGAGCAGAGCACGCCCACGTTGCTGGGCTCGGTGAGCATTTTGAGATCTGGGTGTTGTAGGTGTTGTATCCCTACCAAGATCCTCGACCTTGCTAAATGTATTGTGCAAGAGCATTCGAGAAGACTCCATCTGTCAACGGTAATCATCCAGCTTCAAGTCAGAAAACACCCAGGACCCTTGTATTTACGGACAACTTCGCACTGGTCACCAGTATCCAGCAACTTGGCAAAAAAAAGGGCCTGGCAGTCGTTGTGCATCAAGCCGATTGTTTACTTGGGCATGCTGCTTTACCTGTGCTGTTTCAGGCACAGTCTGGAATGCTAATTTGTCATGCCTGAAGCAGGTCGGCGTCAGTCGCCATACCCTGGCAATTTCCTGTGGCTGTGATCGCTCGCAGACGGCACTGTCGCAACCCATCCAAACTCTAAGCTCATCGATTGAGCTTGGAAGCCCCCGTGTCCCCGCACTGTGCGCCTGCACGGTTCCCCAAAATCAGGTTCCAAGATCAAGACCTGGACCAGACGGAGCTTGGCGGCTACCTCTCCTGGACCGGGAAGTAGGTGTGTCAAGGCAGTTTGGTTTGCATGGTTTTGAAAGATCGTTTCCGGGCACCCCCAAAACTTTGACGTCCTGACGCAATAGCACGCAGCGTAAGAGCACCGCTTTCACGAGCTGCTGAGCCATCCTGAATTTCAGACCCTGTCTTGATTTGTTTGCACCACTGCATCGGTAGGAGTGTCTCTGGCGCCACGAACTTGATCTACGGATATGAGGTGGGGTGAATTTGTGGGAACGACTTAGAAGCTGCCGCTCAAGGAGCAAGCTCATTTCGAATCGTTTTAGGTTTTCCAGATCGTCACAGTCTTCCGAAGTGCTCAGGTGTTTGAGATTGGTGCAGACTTCCTGGCAGTTTCATATTCTGTACGAACAGGACTTCTTAGGTCGCTCTGTACGCGCCTCCATGCCCGGACCTAGGACCGTCTCGTGTTGCTTTCTTGGCGAGCTGAAGCCCAACACCGGCAAAAACATATTCGAGAGGTGTACGTCGACATGGTCAACAACGGGCTCTTCCGAAGCAAGGTCGCGCAGTCGACATTCTCAAACATGTGGTTTCCAGCATGTTGCTTTCATGGTGGTCGGCCGGTGCAACCGGAGAACAAGCTTGTCAACAGCTTAGGTTTTCGGTAATTAACTGCAGGCCTTTTGTTGTTCCGAGCTAGAAAGAATGACTCCGAAGCTCGTGCATGCATTTAGACAAGCCTCAAGGAAGTTTCGAGCACTGGTATGCTTGGATGCCGTGGGTGCAAGCTGCATGAAGCCTCAATAGATGACGCCCTAGAACTAAGTACAGTACCGCAGAGGGTGGACGTTCAACATCGAGACGATACGCGATTGCAGCGATTTTTAGCGCCAAGATTCAATCGTGGTAGATGGGCATCCTGTGCAGCGCACCCACGCCCTACTCCCCACAACTGCGTCTCGCTGGCCGTGCCATGCACGGACGGAGGGCTAGCGACTGCTACAGCGACGAATGCCTAGTAGAAATTGAGTTTTAAAGTTCTCCGTCCGCCCATCGCCGCATGCTGAGTTGGGAAGCGTTCCCGTCGGCACGGAAGAGTTCGTGGTGGGTCCCGACTTCCAGCCTTCTCCGCAGGGCCCTTGGGTGTTTTCAGACGAGTTCTTTCTGATGAGCAGAAAGGGTTTAAGGCATGTTTTAGCTCGATCTGCAGATGGCGGCTAACAAGAACCTCATCTTCTTTGCCATAAGACCAGTAGACGAACGACGCTGCCTGCGCCTTTGAACCACAGGTTCATCTTCTTTCTGGTCTACACATGCTCATCGCTCGCAGAGTCAAGTGGTGCTGCATCCGTCGGCATCTTCGACATCCAGGCATACTTGCATTAGGAAGCATTCCGGTAATTATTTCGACAGACGGCTTTTGCTTGACCAAACATCCGTTGTCACTTTGTGCCAGGCTGCTGTTGAAGGTGCAAAGTACGCCGACAGCATCGCACTCCCGTGAGTCTCTGCGTGGTGTCAGGCCTCGGCCTCGGCAGTCAGCTTCGCCGACCTGGATTTGGACCCCAACGAGTGCGGGAGCCAAGCCAAGGGAAGTATGCGCACAGGCACACAGGACATCAAGGCAGCCAGGCAGTCGCGGTTCATTTTTGCGGAATCTTCCGGATCACCTCTCGCACTCCGCTGCGGTGGAGGCTTGGTGGCACGTTGACATGGACCGAGCCAGCAGATACATCTCAGGCCGGGCCATCCAGGCAGCAATGCCTCCGCACCCTTTTCTTGACTCTGTATCTCTGTATGCAAAGTGTCCCGAATCTCAATTTCGGACTGTGCCCCAGCCAGATGCAAACAAGCATGCATGCACAGAGTGTGGTCAGTGAGGTGGTGTTCTACGACGTGTACATCGCCCTAAACACAGCGGGGGAGAATCGGTGCTGTCCTCTGCCTTTTTGCTGACCCGGGTTTATGCCGCTCATGATGCACTCTTGAGCATTGCAGCATTCCAAAGCCGCATTCAGAGACAGTGAAGAAACGAGGAATTCCATGTGAGCACATGAAACTCACGTGCTGCAGAATTCCCAAGGACCCGAGTCGGCAACCCCGTGCCTGTCCTGACGGCCCAGACAGACTTTCCGGTCGACACACAGCGGGACTGAAGAGGGAAAGGGCTCGGCTAAGCCCACGAACTAGAGCTCGGGTCTTTTGGCAGGAATTCCTAGTGTTCCGGTTCGCAGCCGATATTCTGCGGCATCTTGCGATAGCATGGTCTCATGCCTCAGAGGGAGCCTCTGCACAGCGCGAGGATACCTCCCTCTTCATCTTAGTCTACGCTCGGTCCAGCTTCGTGGAGCAGTCCACGCCGGCCACGCAGGCAGAGGGCAGAGAGGGCACAGCTTGTGGCAGGGACATAGGCAGGGTTCAGGTTTTGGGCCCTTTGGGGCTTGGCTCCAAGGCCGTCACTTGAGGAGTTTCTTTTTTCTGCTTTTTGCAGGCTGTTTCTGAGAAGATCGGGAAGCGGAGCTGGTTGTACTATCAGTTCTAAGAGGAAGACTTTGGCGACAGCTTGTGCTCCTACTATAGGGGCCTTAATAATTAGGGTTTTTGGGGTATATTCTGCTATACTTATAATAAGGAATACCCACAATAGTATTAGGAAATTAGAAAAGCCCCTATATTCCTACTTGTCGTCTATCACTGGGGAACTAAAGGTTAACCTTGTTGGTTATATAATATATAGGGATTTTACAGGGACTATACTACCCAAAAAAGGTTAAAGGTTAGCTACTCTACTACTATCAGACTCCTGAGCCCCGAGTTTGGCCGCCTGTCGGGGTCACATGGCCAGAGGGCCGCTCCGGCCTGAAAGGCTTCTCAGAGCCCCAAGAAATCGTGGCTTGTCAACGATACTCCTCGAGGGGCAGCTCCCAGAGTTGGCATCTGGCAATGTCTTTTCTGCACCACGTGGCTGTAGGATTCAGACAAACGTTGGTCCCGGCGTGAGCGGATGCATAGCAGAGGCCATCTCGGACGAGGCGCGACTGGTTCCAACAATTGGCTTCACGGACTACGACCTGGACCAGGCCAGGCATGAAGGAAGTGCATATGGGTGTCCGGCTAATTCTGGGCTGTTGGCCGATTTGAATTGCGGGTCGCAGATTATGGGTCAACTGAATTGCACTTAGAGAGGACGTGATGCATGTCGAATGACAGCTTTTTGAGGTCTTGGTATTGCAAATCTGAGCCTGCACTGGAAGGATGAAGGCCAAGCCATCCAGGATAAATGTTCAAACATCAGCAACCAGACATCTGTAATCACCTTCCTGAGCACTGCCTTGCTCCGAAGCTGTGGTAGTGCATCCAATGCAGATGCTGCAATGGGGCAAGAGTATCCTTGCACTCTATGCAATTTGGAGCAAGACGCAACGAGAGCGCTGCTCGTCCAATGGATGCAATGTAATGTCTGGCAGCGAGAGGCATTCTGCCTCTCTGCCTCGGCTACCACAAGATCCCGCCGGGCCATCCCCGAACATCTCCATGTGCCCTGTGGAGCCTGTGCCAGGCCGAGCTGGGAGGTAGTATCGTTTGGACGCCGCCCAGTGACGTGTCTCGGCACTTCAAGCTGTAAGGCTGTAAGGTTCCTGGTGGAAGGTTATGGAAGATGTTCTGCCTTAAGCATGGTGTGGCACATACCGCCCCTTTGGTGAAACAACTTTGGGTGTGTGCGGATATCGCATATCCGACCAAGGAGCCCCGCCCCTTTTGTGAAACAACTTTGGGTGTGTTCAGATTTCGCATGCAGCCAGGTCACCCTCGTGTCGCACTATGCGACCTACTTGACGGATGATCAAGGAAATCGGTCGCAGGCACGAGTCGATGTCCGCCTCGGGTACAGCTACCGCACTTGGATGGGTTTCGCGGCCCTTCTCGCTGAGATTGGTTTGACAATCAAACTTCGGGCTCCAAGTGTAGTTCGTTTAAGACACCAGCTGCTCGAACGCAGAGCAGGATAAGTCCGATGTTGTTTTTTGGCTGGTCGGTCACAGGTCACGGGGGTTCAACAACGCGTGCGTTTGCCAGTCGTGCTACATGCAATAAGTTTCAAGCAGATTCCCTTGGCGCAGGTGGGAAGCGATGTTGCCATCGGAGCGAGCACCGAGTTCGATCTGCCTGCCGACTTTGCCCAGGAAGCGCAGTCTGCCTTGGTAAGTTGCAGCTGCATGTCTGCATGTTCCTTGGGGAGCAAGGTCCTGTGTGTGCAGAGTTGGAGTGTGTGTGTCTGTGCGTGTGTGCATCCTCCAAATCAGTGCCGGCGAGACTGCTGATTGCTTGCCGACCTGTAGCATCTGTAGCGCAAGACTTGGAACTTCATCCGGCTTTTCTCAGTGGAGCTTGTTTTCTCCGGCTTTTCTCAGTGGAGCTTGTTTTCTCTGGAGGAGTCCTGGACGAAAGTACAGGCCTTTCGCCTGCAACAAGCCGGACTGGATGAAGGGGCAGTCGAGTGTCACGGGGTCACACTATGAGGGAGCGCAGGTGATGTCACAAGGTGTTCGGTTCATGAAGGCAGGTATGGTTTGAGCACTCAGTACATGACTATGGGGTCCATATGCTCATGCAAGTTGGCCCGGAGGTCTTGTTTTTGAGGCGCGATCTCGACTCACGCCCTTGTCTGTTATTTATATAGTTACATTTTGAGAGTCTGCAGACATTCGCGACAGGTCTACCTTCGCTCAACCCTCGCGGAGCAAACTACCCCTCAGAGCCTGGCCATCAGTGACACTGCGACTCGTCAATGCATGGAGGAGGGCCACGAGGTTTCACTCTTGCGCATCAGCTTGTTGGTAACGGAGACATGGTGGCGAGGTCGCTGAAATTGCGGACATCAACTTCACGGATGAGGCAGCGAACGTCAGCCTTGACTGAATGAAACCACGCTACTGTACAAACTACGGCTTATGATCGCCTCGCGCACCATTGTTGCATACTTGTTACTATCAGGGCATGGTGGGTGTGCAAGATGCTTGGGATAAGCACCTCACTTCAATAAGCTATATACTGATGGCCTCAATTGGACTGTCATAAGACGTCTTTGCATGGTTTGCCTCTTTTCGGAAATCGACATGAGTCAGAGGCATGCTTAGCGGCTAAACTGACTCCGCAGTCTTTCCTGTGCAGTGCAGAGATTCCGGACGCCATCTGCAGGATCTTGACATATCGGAGATCGGCGGCGTGGTCAGCTGGTTGGAGCCAACTGTTGCATCTGAAATCCAGGACATGCCGATGTAGCTCGATTCCTGGTATACGGCTTCTTAAAATCATGCTCTTCGGTTGCAGCATCAATTTCTAATGGACGCATTCATGCAGGGTGTGCCTTGGTGTGACAGAGGTCAGAGCTTCTGCGAGGAGGGGGTGTCTATGCTGTTCACTTCGTTGTATGACACGACTCAAGGACCATCCCACATTTGCAAAGACCCAACTGTCAGGATTATGTCCTCTACCTGGGCCAGGGCGGCAGTGGCGCCAGTCGCAGCTCTTTGGGGCTACCTGACATGCATAGGGCTGCAGTCATGCAGCGCGTTTTCGGCGGGGCCAGACTGCATGTGATCTAAAATTGTACTGGCTTGCAGATCAGGGCGCTGTTTGCACCTGTCTTGTGCAGAGTTGCGCGAGCTAGTTTGCACATGTAAGGGTCCGGACGACAAGTCTTGGCTAGGAGCACGTTGGAAAGCTGGAGTTCTAAGTAGATGAAGTAGATCGAGCGGAAGACAAGTGGTGGGGAGCTCTCAAGCTCGACGAGTGGGAATCAGTCGTTGTACCCGATACCTGCCCACACCTGCACCCTCGAACGCGAGGCTCGTGGCGAACAGCACTGCGAGCCTGACGCAGGTGGAGGCAGGAGCTGACCAGCATAAGTCGGCCCACACACGACCCTGAGGCGTGTGCAGCAGCACGCATTCTCTAAGCACTGCGAAACCCTTGTCAGCTAGAGCATGTGGCTATGTGGCTTGCCGGTGCTACAGATCAACCAGTGCAGTCTGCTTCGCAGAAGCGGACGCGAGAGATCACTTCTTTCCAGAATGGCATCAGAAAATCAGTCTCCCCAACTCGAGTATCTACAAAGAGTCTAACGTTCTATACAGCTCTGAAGTCTACTAGAGCGTGCTGCGCAAGATTGGAAGGGTCTGCAGTTGAACCGAGAACAGGTCTTGTTGCCCCAGAACACAGCGCTGCCTTTGGCCTTTGACCGCTTGCAACCTGGCACACCTAGACTTTCGAATTATGATCTCTTGATTGTGGGTACCGTCTTATGGATTTCATGCCTTTGCCTAGTCAGGCAATGTCATAACCACAGACACAGAGGCACGCAGACACACGTACAGTACACACACGCATGCATGCATGCGTACAAACAGGCATAAACAGCAGTATAAACAGCAAACAAAAAAGCTAAATGTGCAATCATGCAGGCATGCATACACACCTACGTACCATACATACAGTCATGCATACATACATGTTACATACATACAAACATTCGCAAGTACATACGTAAACACACACATGTATATGTACACAGACACACACCCACTCTCAGACTCTGTTGCATATGTACGCATGCATGAAGCCTGCCTGCATGCATGCATGCGTGCTGCGCTCGTTACCTGGTGCCTACCGACCTATCTCCCTTCCTGCCTGCGTACTTACCTACCTACTTCAATTCCTCAGTACCTCAACACTTGCCTACCTACCGAGCTGCCTACCTACGTCCGTACATCCATCCGTGCATGCAGGCATCGTACATGCATGCATACATACATAGACATGCGGACATGAGGCCGCATGTACATAATATGTACATGCCGACGCACGGACATGCATACCTACATACAGGCAAACATACACACAGGCACGCCTCCATGCATGCCTGGTATGGCATCCCATCGCATCGCCTGCCATCGCATGGCATTGAGACATACGCATGTGCATGCATGCATAAAATGTTGAGATGATGCGGACGGACGGACATCCACAGACATTCTCCGAGGCTCTTGTACGCCCGCTCCACGCTGGCAGAGCAGTCCACACCAGCAAGCCAGGCCAGGCAGAGCCGGCACAAACCGAGCCGGAAGTCCCGGCCAGTCGTAGCAAGGCGCGGGGCCCGAACACATAGGACCCAAGCCACAGGGGAAGGCCAACTTTGAGATCAGCTCTCGAGAAAAAAACCAGGGATGTAACCGCTGTAAAGTGAAAACCGCACCCTTGCTACAATTCGAAGCGAGACGTCTGGAATGCGTATCCTGGTGGCCCCTCCCCTGAAAGCCCTCCACTGCTTCGGGGTTGAAGTTGCGCTGAAATGCTCGTGAGATCGGCAGGGCATCAGTGATGCGTTGGTCACCATGGATGTGAACTTCACAGATCAGGACGTTCCCCAACCGTGATCGACTAGCGGCAATAACGAATGGTAGCCAATCATCGCCAGCCTGTGTCCCTTCAGGATCTGGACGAAGGCGAGATTGGTGGCACACTTTCCTGGGAGCTGATTGCGGGCAGCGCTGCCTTGGTGACCCAGTTGCCTGGATGAACAGTATCAGTTAAGCACGCGCGCGGTTTGATCAAGATTTAGGTGGTCATGAGCCGAACTCCTCGTTCCAGTGTTTGCCTGCAAATCTCAAACCTGCTAGTGTCCTGTTGTTGGGGAGGAGAACTTGATCCAGTAACCTGGAACGATTTCATCCGGAACTGGATGAAGTACTCTCACACTTGAACCACCGAAGTGTACTCTCACACTTGGACCGCCGAAGTGATGTCTCTGAACTCCGAAGGTTCATCGCCTACATGGCAGACTCAGAGGCACTGCGGGAGGGGAAGAAGCCCTGTGCGGAGACGTAGCCGGCAGACAGTCGCAGCCTAGGCCCATCAAATCATCTGCACGTCGTATGTTCTTTCTCATCTGAAGGTCAAACAAAGGCGGGATCCTACGAAGCCGATCACGCGGAGAGAAGCCTGCCATGTGCGATCAGAAAGCTATCCATCCTCTGACTTTTTTGTCGTCTGGAACACTTGAGCATGATCTTCAATGACTTTCACGTGATGTGGAGAGCTGAAGGGGACAAGACTGATGAATGCTCTGAGGAGTCACGTAGATGATGCTCACCACTCACACACGTTTCGATGTGTGGAGTGGCGAAACGTATTGTGAGCCCTGGCTTTGTCGTCCCTTGTCTTGTCGTGTCGTCTCTCATGCGCAGGCTGGAGACAATGTGCGCACTGTGCTGGGGACCCGCTCTGCTTCGAGTACGGGTGAATGCTGAGAGGGCTGAACTGCTGGGCTGACAATTCTTCGAAGCAGTCTGTTGCTCATTTTGTGCTTTCCGCACTGTCAGCAGGACTGCAACGCCTACATCTCGATCTCTCGCACTTGCGCAGCCTGGGCGCATTAGTCGTCCGGGGTCAGTGATGCAGAAGGCTGCGCTTTTGGTGGATGTTAGCGGCAGTGGGCTTCCAGGATTCATCATCGGACATTCGAATCTTTCGACAGCTATGTCTGGTGAGAGTCGCTGTTAGAGGGTAGTGAATCCGAGTCGAAGTAGTAGGGCGGGGGTGCCCCGCCCCCGTCCCCACCAAAATTAAAGTCATGGGGGGGGGGGGGAGGGCGCGTTAATTGAAAACCAGTTTTGGCTCATTCCGGCTCCCGAAGCCATTAAACATGCTTGATGTATGGGGAAAACTCTATTTGGGCTCTTGAAGTCTCCAATCGAAACAGTCGCGCTTTCTGATGAACGGCGAGGCCGGGTTCTCAAACACTTTCTGAAAAGGCAAACGTCAGCAAAGACTGCAGCAGTCTGGCCAGAAAGTGAGAGTAAGTTTGCAGTTCCCTTCAACCTTTTTCGTGGAGATCTGCAGCTGGCAGAGTGTCGGTTGCCGGTGCAGTAGCCAATGTCTCATCCTGTCACTCGGAAGAATCTGTAGGCGCTCCAGCCCGAATCCCGAAGCTTCTAAGCACGCAACGCACGAGCAAAGTCAGTGAACTTCAAGAACTTGTGAAGTCTCCACAAGTGTCTCTTTCTAACGTCATGCTTATTCTGCTAACTCATTGACTTACGCAAACCGCCCAGCCTAAGTTGAGCTGGTTCCTTCGGGTCGGAATGTGACACAAGTCGTACACAGCACCCCGCTCCGTGGTCCTTTTCCAGGCCTGAACTTTCGGCACAAAACTTCGCACACTTGCTCGTGCAACTGGGCTGCATCCGTGCTGGCTGCAGGTGAGATTTCTCGTCAGCTTTGCGATCTTGCTGGCTTCATTCGAAAGTTTTATTTGACTGAGACTCCACTTGTGGATGCACTTCTATTGTTTATGCTGGATCACCACAGCGTCATACTGCTGATGCTGCCCGTAGGTACAAGGGAGATCAGCCTGATCTAAAGGGCTCCTGACTCGTGGGCCCATATTGCTGTTTGTTTTCTGATCCGTAACCTTATCGGATAGGTGCGGGAAAGCTACCGACATGGCTATGTAGGTATGCCAGATCCAGCCTCTTCGAGCAGACGACGCCTGCCGCAACGGCCCTGGTCGATGTCAACGCAAGCGTCTCAGGCGCGTGCAGGGACATTTAAAAAGGCATGGAGCTGGAGCTTCAGCTTACAAAAGGCCGCAAGGCTTAAGGTTGGGCCATGTTCTGCTACAGGGTTTAGGATCAGGATCCGGCGCCCGAGGTCACAAGGTTCGGGGCGGGTGCACGTTGCCTATTCCAGATGCACCAGCCATAGCCTCCGTCACAGCTCCGCTGCACCTCCGCCACAACATGCTAGGGCCCAAGCTTATGGCTTAAGCCTCCTTTTGCAGGCGACCGTGGGGTTTGGGATGGGGATGCAGATTCTCAAGTAAACTTCTGTAGGCTTTCCTTGACATTGCAGATGCCGAACTCATGCCAACTTGCACCTGAGGTACTTCTTTTACAGACTTCGATCTGGATGCAGACCAGCTTGGTGGTGACATCACGTGGACCGTACCGAGCTCTCTGGACGAGGCGAGGTAGTAGCGCGCTTGTTGATCGGATGCCTTCCTGCTTGCGTTCCTTCATTCGTTGAACCGAAGATGCACAGACCAGTTGAGAGAATGCCAAAGCAGACCCAGATACATAATTTGAAAGCTGTTCAGATCCCAAGGGTCGCCATCACCTTTTGGCTTCAGTCTCTGTCTTCAGGTTGTGAGCTACGCAGTCTACCTCGCCGGCCCTGTTGCAGAGAACCGGTCGCAGCTCAACGGTCTCCTAAGTCCTTCCACGAGCTTGCTAGTGTCTTGGCCGGAGCAAATGTTTTGGCCTCGTCGCCACTTCAACAACGCAAGTTTGCCTCTCCTGTCTGCCCGCTGTTTTCAGAGCTGCTAATGCTTTGTGGTCCTACAGTAGCTCCATGTTCTTTGTGAGATGTGAGGCGATTCCGCCGGATACAGACAGGCAGACCTACACGACTCTGGCCACTGAGCTTCACCCAGTTTCGGACCATTTTGGAACTTAACTTCTGACAGGTTGTCTGCACCAACTTCTATGCTCAACACCTATCTTAGGCAGTGTACACCCGGTCGGTCCTCGTGGAGCAAAGCACGCCGGACCTGGCTATCCTCGACGATTCCCAGTCTACTGTTCAGGACGAAGATGTTGCCTACATGATGGACCCTGCAGAGTCGCACAGACGGTGGCTAGGTAAACCAATTCCATCCATATGATCACATACCACAAAAAATGATCAACCTGATGAAAAAAGGGTCTAGACTCCGAAAGCAGACCAGAGTCCCTTGCAGAGACCGTCCTCCAAGCCAGCCTCTCGGCAGGACCTGAGTTTCCAGGACGAGGAGCTGCGGGTGTAACCGGCTTCCACCTTGGGTGCACTTGCGGTGGACGGTGGAGAATGATGTCTGGCATTCAGCAATCTGTACAAGTACAGCACAGGAAGTATGCATATACGCACACGGATATCCGAAACTGATGCCACCGGTGCGCGAGGACTTCGACGCTGGAGAGTTGGCGGGTAACGTGACGTGGACAGCTCCAGTGGACGACCGCTACGTGTCGAGCTACCAGGCCAACCCCGTGTTTAGCAATTCGGTGTTCAGGATCTGGCTCATCATTAATTGCATTTCAATGTTTGCCTTTGTTGCAAGCAAACGTGCCGTTGAACTGCTGGCAAACAATACCTTGTGAAGGTTTGTCCTTGTTGAGGCCTTGTCTGGCTTGAGCCCAATTGCAGCAATGCGCCCTGCGCTCCTGCCTCGCAGGTGTATTTTGCGAACTTCTCAGATGGCCGCGAACGTTCAGAGATCGGTGCACCTCTCCCGACGGCCTCCCGATTGAAAGATCTTCGCTTCTGAAGGGAAGCTTATGGCAGTTCCATGCACTTGCACTACTGCTTATGACCATGCTGGTCCGCTTTCAGCCAAGGCACTTACAAGCAGGGAAATCTTGCAGGACACAGCCTTGGAGAGCTTCCAATTTGCTTTGGCCCGTGGCCGAGAAAGTAGTTTGTGGCAGTTAGTGATGGCGCGTTGTCCGTTGCTTGTCTGCTCGACGAGGTTTACACCGCCTCTTCGCTTGCAGAGCAAACGACACCGGCGGCCACTGCAATTAGCGCGTCCTGTCAAGAACTTCACATTGCCTTCGATTTGCCGTATTTTAATTCTTCCTATCTCAACTCCTCACATGGTTCCGTCTCAGCTTGGGACCGCAGCGAATGCCCTTAAATTAAGGATCTGCCGACCTCTAAAATCAACAATCTAGCTCTCTGCAGATACATCATCGACATATACTGTTCATCGCCCAGGACACCTCTTCTGCTGTTGAGGGCTTGCAGTTCACCGACCTGGACTTAGACTTCGAGGAGCTTTCACAACCTGTTGGAAAGATCAAGATCCATATTGCGATGTCTGTCAAGGCTTTGCTCTGAAGGATTTGACCTTGGGCTGCATCAGTACAGGAGCTGGGTGGCGAGGTCTCTTGGACACTTCCACTGCTGCCCGTGTCTGTTGATGTGCGCCTTGGCAATAACATGCAGCTGGCTGTTGTTGTGACCCCTTCTGGCCATTGTGAAGGGTGCTCGGCATGTAACACCCTTGCCCGCACGGACTGTGTAACGTCGGCCCATGGCACAGCCAACTCGACCCAAGTTTCGACTCCCGCAAAGTAGGATCTCCGGTGCTGCGATGTGCTGCGAGTGTCTAACCACCCCGACCCTGCCCGTATCCGCTTGAACTGGTCCAACCACTTCACTCCTGCGACAAAGCATGTGAGTCCTGAAACCCCACTGACTTGTTCGCATCCTTCAAATGAAAAGCCCGATGTTTGCAGGCTGTTGTACTTGGCCCTCAACCGTGCCGGCTCTGGACGCTTTCTTGTGGGGCAAGTTCCTGGTGACGTCGTGTCGCGGGCCCGAACCTGCGAAGGTTTTTGTTGAACTTGGGGTTTAGTCCAATTGGAAACTTGCGAGCTTGGGGCTTTGGGTGTGCGAATGGAGCTTACCCGCCTGACTCAAATTCGTTGGGCTTGGCTTCTCGTGGTGCTGCCAAACAACGCGATTATTGGGGTCGCCTGGGGGTTTTGCACCTACACATACAGTACGTGTTAGTCAGCCTGAAGTCCGAGGAACTTCACCCTGCCTGCCGACACGCCGAAAGGGTCTTTCAACTACTTGGTCGTGTACACGAGGCCTAAGTTGACAATGACGATTGTTGCCAGAGCTACAACATCCCAATGCCCAGATCATCCCACATGCCTTTCTTTCCACGGAGAGCTATGTGCAGGTCAGTGTCCTCCGAGCAGACCACACCGAGCTCTTTGCAAATCATTGACACCGATTCGACGGCCGAGAACATCAGTTTCATAGACAAGGAGCCGCTTGTGATGCTGCTACTGGTACTCGCTGGGATGCCTGGGTCGCAATAATGAGAGCCGAACATTGATCTGTGCTCTCCAGGGCAGATTTAGTTCTTGCTTGCCAGGCTTTCAGACTCATCTGGCTAATGATCTCTATTACCTCTTTCTGGACGTCTGCGTGGGTCCCTCTTGCCTTCTGGCCGCTTGTTTGACTGCCTCGCCAGCTGTCTACGCGTCTTTCCGTGTCAGCCCAGGTGATCTAAACAAGGAGTGTGGCAATCACCAAGTCATCATTCGCTAGCACGTTCTGACTCAACGGGCTCTTTGAAGTATTGCCTTCGAGGCTTCAAGCCAGCTTTGAACATCACTTTGCAGAGCGCAGCTCTACCGGCATCGGTCCGCAGGATCTCGAAGCAGGCGAGATCGGGGGCACCGTCTCGTGGGCCGAGCCGATGGAGACATCACAAGTTCAGGAGCCATCAGGGCGTTGAAAGCATGAGGTTCTGGTCGGTGAAGTGGCAGCATCCTCTCCCTCTAGCATTCTAGCAGGCAAACGCACCTCTACACAGACTCCTCATTGTTTGCCTAAGTGTGTTGATAAGCTCCGCACGTGTGGAAGAAAAGATACCTTGAAGGACTACCTGCTCTACCTGGGCCTGAATGACACGAGGCAGAGGCCAGCTCTGGTTCAGATGAAGGCTGTAGCGCAGATCGGGTTTTGGAGTTTACACTCCAGTTCAGTGGAGGGAGCTTGCAATGCTGCAGGAGCTCACTCGGACTCACCGTCGCAGCAGCTAGTCCAGCTACCGTGCTGCAGGCTGACCCAGCGCTAATTCGCGTCTTTATATGCAGTTCGGGGATGTTCAGGACGTCATCATTCGCAAGGCAATTCGCTTTAACGGGCCGCAGGGTCAGAGTGAGAGATTCGTACTTGCCCCGGCCCCGGCCCCTCTTTCCAGTAGATGCACTGCTTGGGGCAGGGTTTTGGTCAGAGCACACTTCTGCGGCAGGGAGCAGTCCATTTTCAAATCAACGTCGTGCTTCCGCCATGTTCTAGTCCCAAAGCCCAGATCAATCTTCGACAGCCAAGCAAAAGCAGAATTCCCGAATAAGACTTGCAAAGCAAGTTTCATCCTGGAGCAGACAGCGGCAAGGCCGACGTGCTCGAAGACACTTTTCTGGCTACATTCGACCAAATCTGGGCCACACGTCTAAGCTTTTCAACAGATGTAGTTGTTGGGGTCCAGTTGGATGGAAATTGTGCTCTGCGCACTTGCAGGACCACAGTTTCTTCCACGATTGGTACTCGTAGGAGTTGACCAGAGGCGATGCCGGCGAGTTGAAGTCCGCAATCACAAAACGACGTCTTCGGTGCGTTGAGGTCTACGCGCGGTCTACCTTCGCAGAGCAGACCACCCCTGCATTTCAGGCCAGGACATGCAGTGGCGTGGGGCACACATGTGTTATTTCCACTACTGCTGAGCTACGCAAGACTAACCTCTCTAAGCTTGTATTCTTGGATAAATCTGGCAGAGGGCCTTGCTAGCCCTTATACTGTGATGTCCTTACACACACACACACACGAACGATCTCGTCCTGGTTTCGACCAACTAGGAGATGAGATGATTGAGGAGATAGTGTAGGATGCTGAAATGCTATCCCTTTCCCTTTGATGCCTAGAACGTTCATGAGATGCCCTGATTTCTGCTCTCGCTTCGTTGTTCTCAAGCAGTGCGCAGAGGTGGGTCTCGCAGAACACCGGTGTAGCAGGACCATGTTGTTCGCAAAGCTGGGTTACGGTTCCTAACGTAACTTCTGTCGTTGATGACGTATTTATCATGTTCGGATTATCACCTCGACTGTTTTGTTTGATGCTTTCTTGCATGTAGCCGACAATCCGTCAATGCATGTCAACATGTTCGATCTTGCTCGGTTCCTGTTTCTAGAGGCGCTATTGCTGCGTTTGGTTATTCCAAGTTTTTGCCAATTTTGCAGGGCCGCGTGAGGAAGGTCTTCCTTGTTTCAAAGTCACTAGTCACAGTCACTACTCACTACTCTATATGTGTATATATATATATATATATGTATGTATGTATGTATCTCTGCGTTTGCCGATTCTAATACCTCTGCTTCTGTGGTTTTGCTAGTGCAACATCTATGTCCCGTAGCTACGGCAAGAGGTGCTGAGCGATGCCAGCACAGTGCTGACTGTGAATTTCACAGACGAGGTGCGGATCTCTTTCTCTCACCGTGACTGCATCGTAGGTGAATCCTCAAATTCCAGCTCAGACCTGCTTCTGTAGTCAGTCGTGGATTCATTGGGAGGGCATGAAGCGCAGATGTAGCGGTGCTTGAGACTTACGTCAATAGTTCTATGTACGCGACCGCAGAGATGCGCTGCAGTCCGATTTCAGAGTCAAAGCTCAAGGAGTTGAGCCTACTACATTGGCATCACTGCGCGTGCTCGTGCTAAGTTACGCTGGAGTTTTGCGTGGATTATACTTCTTATGAATTTCGGAGACAAGAAACACCAAGCTCAAGGGAGTTTTGCGTGGAGTATACTTCTTATCAATTTCGGAAACAAGAAAAACCAAGCTCAAGACTCGACTGGGCACCCTGCACGACAGGACCTGGATGAAGGAGAACTTGGAGGTAAGATTTCCTTCGACGTTGTATCTGGCGATACATCGCAGGCATCTCGACCTTTCAGCAGAGTTCGGTGTTCACAGATGCTTTTTTGTCCTTTGTGCGGCTTACATCGAGACTGTCGAATCTGTCGGCCTCCCCGAGGTACCGTTTGCTTGTAGGTATGGTCCCACCAAGAGTGCTGCAGTTTCAGTTGCGGGCAGCGGTCAGCATTCCAAACCGCTGAACTTTCATTTTTCTTTGTGCAATTGTTATATTGTCGAAAATCTTTCACAACAGGCAATCGCACACTCTGTGCCGCTCCGGAAAAATCATGGACAGAAAAATTTACCCAACCGAGGTGGTGACATTTTCCGCCTACGGTGCAGACTCTGAGGCGGATTGCCTTGTGCTGCTTGGGGATGGCAACTTCCTTTGCAGTGAGGAGTTGATCCACCTGCGCTCCGTGCAGAATTGGGGCATGTGGGGTTTCCAGCCAGAGTTTCTTTATGGATCATCGAAGCATATCGAGGCAGTTGTTTCGCTCAAGCAAGCGATTGCTCTCTGGAAGGATGGGCGTGGGTATCGCTTTGCACTGGGCGCAGCACTTTGGCAAGCACGGTGTCGCGCGCACTTTTGTGTGCGTGCGTGTGTGTGTGTGTGTGTGTGCGTGTGGGACAACTATTAAGAGGTCCTTGGCTGTATCTGCCATTATATATCTACCTGTTGTACTTATTGTCGACCTGTGATTCAGACATGGACATGATGCATATGTGCATCAAGTTTCCCTATTTGGAGAGGACGAAGCAATCGGGGCATTGTCTTCGGCACTGAGGTCCAGCTGGGCACGTGGTCGCTTGACCTTTCTCCAGAAGTATCAGTCCAAAACTTCTCACACCTGCTCCTGCAACTCGGCGGTGGCACGCATGAATGGGTCCGAGGTCCCTTTCGATCGGCTCGACTAAGCCGACTCAGCAATAGAGCCGTTGTAGTATTGGTGGCGGCGGTTATTCTAAAATCCGAGGCCGCAAATCCCAGCACATGTAACGACACAACTAAATATGATGAAAAGCTCCCCCTACTTGTATTGAAGCGAAAACGAACGATCACTGTGATGCCTGGTGCCGCAGCATGCCATCGAGGGACTACAGCTTTCGGTGCTTTCCGCCGCAGGCTCAAGGTGTGTAGAGACCTAGGCTGCTTGAAACCTCGCTTTGGGATTTTATGCTAAGGCGTGGGCTTTTGGGTTCTTGCAGTCTGGGGATCGCCGGGGTTTGAGATTGACAGCTTGAGGGGGCACTTTCACGGACCCGACAGGTACAATTGGTACAATGCTACCCAGATCCAAACTCCGGAGTCAAAACACCATGAGGCGCTGCTTATGCAGCAACTTTCCTCAAGGGCTTTTATTTTCCCCATACACAAGACAGTTGAACGATCAGCAGTCTCTGCTGCCACATTTAAATAGCATAGGGGGGTCAAAGGCTTCGCATCCCCGAACGTGACAGGATAGCTTTAACAGGCCTGCCGGTCTAGAGGCTCTCCTTCAACACCTCTACCTTTGCATGCTGCTGTGCTTCATCCTAGCCCGAATCGGCAGCAAACTGCCAGGTATGCTCGATCCAGCCTGTTTGAGCAGACAACCCCTGCGATCATCGAGTTGACAGACGTCAATGCTAGCGTTTCAGGCAGGGGACAGGGAAAGCAACTTCCACTTGGGGCTTCCAAGCCATATCCTTGGTCCAGGTATGCCAAACTAACCCAATTACTCTGCGGTAGCGGCTGAAGGGAAACGACTTGTTTAATGCTCTGTGCAGCTGACCCAAGTGAATGCTGAAAAGAGTGGCATGCCTGTGTGTGTGTGACACCCTGATAACAAAGGGTACAAGCAGGGGGCCCGGAAAGCCCGAGTGAGGTCCGTGCCAACGAAGACCCTCACTCGGTGCTCGTGTAAACGTACCTGCAGCAGTCATGAATTGTTTAATTGTTCCAAGTGATGGTAACCCCTGTCTAGCTACTCTCGCAAGAGAGTTTGCAAGTGTGTTCTCGACCGGCATTCTGTCAAAGGGCCGGGCGTAGCAACTGCTTGACTTCTTGATACAACTGTTCAAGACATTGAACGCCGCTTCTTGGTTCGCAGCTTCTTGATTCGACAAATCCTCGAACGCTGCTGATAAATTGAATGACTTCTTGATTCTTTTCCACTTGATTGACTTCTTGAATGACTTCTTGAATGTCTTCTTGAATGATTTCTTGAATGATTCCTTGATCGACGCAGTGCAAGAGGCCAGGACCCAAGCCTCAATGGGGCAGGACCCTTACCCCAGACGACGCATTTTTTTGAAAAGTGCCAAAATGCGGCACTTTTGTGAGTATATCTTTGATTAGCGCAAAGAATTTCAGCTGTCGGTCGGCAAGCACCGCAGGGCTGCGGCATTTCGGTAAGACCTGCGAACTGTGGATGTTTGACCGTATTAATAGGACATGCGCTGCAGGGCTGCGGCTTTCTGTAAGACCTGCGAACTGCGAGCGCAGTCCTCTAACGGGGTTTGAAGTGCCCAATGTGGGCCACCCCTTACCTTTTCTTTTTCCGCATGTGTCGTTTCGCAGTCACAGTTTTTTCTTTTTCAATGCTCGAAGCCAGAGGCTTTTCCAAGCCAAAAAGGCTGCCTCCAGCTGCAGCTCCTTTACTTTTCGCTTACGTTGCTGTTTCGCTTTAAGGCTACACAGCCAACCGCCCGCCTTCCTGCAAAGCCTTTGTGTTTTCCTTTTCCTTTTTCTTTTTCCGCTTCCCTAATGCAAAGCAAGGGCCGAGCATAAAAACATGTATTACTTGAATGATTCGATACTTCTGTATCGGCATAAGGCCAGGACCCAAGCCTTAACAAAAAAAGGGGCAGGACCCGTACCCCTGACGACAACACGTGAGGCCAGGACCCAAGCCTCAATGGGGCAGGACCCGTACCCCTGACGACACAAGAAGGCCAGGAACCTAGCCATAACGACAAAACAAGGGGCAGGACCCTTACCCCTGACGACAGTACGAGAGGCCAGGACCCAAGCCTCAATGGGGCAGGACCCGTGCCCCCGATGACGCTTTTTTCAAGGGCACCACGTCGTGGCTGCGGCTTTGACCTGCGAAACGTAATGGTGAGCCCAAACCAAGCAGGCATCAGATGGGGCTGCGGCATTGACCTGCGAACCATCTGATGACCTTCATGTTTCCACTACTCCCCAAAACTGGGGAGTAGCCGTGTGTGTGACACCCTGATAACAAAGGGTACAAGCAGGGGGCCCGGAAAGCCCGAGTGAGGTCCGTGCCAACGAAGACCCTCACTCGGTGCTCGTGTAAACGTACTTGCAGCAGTCATGAATTGTTTAATTGTTCCAAGTGATGGTAACCCCTGTCTAGCTACTCTCGCAAGAGAGTTTGCAAGTGTGTGTGTGTGGGAGCCGCTTGTGAGGCACGTCTTTCACCGATCTCGACCTCGATGCCGAAGAGCTCGGGGGCCGTGTCTCCTGGGCTTTGCCCTACAACTTGGCCCAGGCCGCGGCTGCTGTGAGACTAAGACCGACGGACGCACGGTCTTCGACTCTGAACTGAAGAATAGAGAGATGCTCAAGCCGTGAACCGAAGCAGCCTTTTCCGCTAAGCAGCCATGTTCCTAGCTTTCGTTCATGAGAACTCTTCAGGGAAACTGCTTGCCAGAATGGCTGCGAACAACGCGTGAAATGGGAAGCAGAGCCAGTCCCACTTCCGCATACGACAGAAGCAAATTTGTTTTTGCATTTTTTCTCTTTCGGGGAGAGAGGTGGTCTACTACAACGTCTACGTCACGGACGCTTTGGGCACGAATCGATCGCAGATCGACGGTCCGCTGCTGGCCACCGCTGACTCGATCGCGCTTGAGAAGCATTGGCGCACTGCACTCTAGCATTCGCAAATCCTTCCATCGAGCTTAGAGCCGAGAGCCGTCCCGTCCATTCCTGCGAGCCAGGCCATGCGCAAGCAATTAAAGCCAAGTGTCCACGCCAGAATCATAGTTGGTGCCTTTTCTAGGGCTGCCAGCATGAAAATGTTGTCTCTGTTCTCGTGTACCCACGGTCCTTATTGATCCAATCCAAGCCTGCCAAGGTCATGCCACCCAACACGCCACGCCAGCAGTACACGAGACTTGCTCCATGGCCCGACTGAGCCCGACCTGTGTCCTGCAAGTTTGCGGTTCGGTTGTAGCAATGGAAAATTTCAAACTTGCACTTAATGTCGAGACGAAGTCATGCAGCTCATCTCCAAAAACACGCTTCCTCAAGATCCGATGTTCAAGGTTCTGATTTGTGGCTTCAGGTCGTAGGTCCGGGTCGTCATGGGCTGTTTGATCGGAGCAGACACGTTTCGGCAGCGACGACCCCGACACACAACCGCGCACAAGCAAGACTGTGGCTCCCTAGATCTCTCTGGTGCAAGCGCCTTTTCATCAGATTCCTTTGCAGGCTGTGTTCACACAGTCTGCGCTTGTCGAGCAGACCACGCCAGATGCAGTGGAGGCCCTGCCACTTTTCCGTGCAAATCTGCAGTGCTGCAGCAAGACCCTGTTTTGCCATTCTGTCTAGATCCATCTTCGGTGTTTAATCGAATTCCAAAGCATACGTTCGCAGACCCAAGTTTTGCATGAGCCATGACTGCGCTGACCCGGGTCGTTTGCTTGAAGGTCGAAGATGTCTCCTCGTCCGTGGAGGAGCTTGCTTTCGTCGACGAGGAGCTTACAGACCGCAGTTCTAGCTGTGTGGCCACTTGCTGCCTCTCAACCAGACGATTTTTGCTTGATGCTGTGCAATGTGGCAACTTGTGCAACAATTGTGCTTGGGAATTTCACGAGAGTATGTGGAAGTTCGGCGTGCTTGCTGGAAGGATCTGGATGCTGACGAGCTTGGGGGCAATGTCTCATGGGCACCAGCGAACGACAGCCGGTATGTGACAGGCTACAAGGTGCTGCTTTGAATATCGTTTTTGTGTCAGATGTGGTTGGGCTGGCTGCAATGCAAGCGGCTGTACCAGAGCGCACATCCCCAAGTGCTAGGTTTGTTATCGTGCGCTGGGGTCTACCAAAATCCAAAAAACTCTGCCTGTCGATTTGGAAAGGGGATTGCCGCTTCTCGGCGACAGTTTTCGCATCACTTGCGACTCCCAGCGTTTTTGTTTCATAACCGTGGCTGCTACAGCCACAGATCCACGTGACATGGAATATTGAAAGAGGACTTAGCATCGGTCCGGTACCCAAGCACAACACCTGTTCCGATCACGGAGAAGCCTGCAAGTGGAAGTCACCCTCATAGTCCGCTTGTCTTCCACAAGTCCCAACACACAAGCGATCGTTTTCGCTAGCTGCTTTCTGCCATTCGCTTCATCCCGATTCATCCCTTGTGCAGCGTTTGCGCAAATTGATGAGCGGACACCTGTCAGCCTGTGGGCCAGGTCTACCTCGCGAACTCGTCGCAGGGACAAGGCCCGGAGTCCCCAGAACCCGTCAGTCCGGTGCCGGTGCTTCCTCGGTGTTTTTACTTGAGTTTTGATGCAGGACGCCAAGAGATCGGCTTCCTGGAGTCGGCCACAGACACGGGTCTCGAAGTGCCGGATCGCCGTGGGAGGGCAGAGCTCTGGGGAGTAGAAAGGCACCGGCACCTTCGGGATGCGAGCGAGAGATGGATTTTGGTTCATTGCTTCGCATGAGGCTCCCGGCGAGGCTCCGTTGCCATTTCTTCGGGTTTCCTTAGGCAGTCAGTGGGGGTCTTGGTCAGGCAGCTATGTCTGCCATGCTCAGACTTGTATGCGGATACTCTCTGCAACAGGAGCATGCCGTCAACGGTAAGAGAATTTTCGGATTCGAAGATAATCACAGCGCAGAGCAGGAAGCCAAGCCGAATCTTTTCGAGAAGTTTGCCTCCAGTAACTTCAGACTCCCACTGGACCGCAGAGCATCGCAGACCGCAGGACAACACGGCCTTGGAAGGATTTCGCGCGTTGTTGGTCGCAGCCCAAGCACGCAGTTGGAGATGAGCAAGACTTCCTGCTGCGGTCATATTCTCCGAGACACTGGAGCCCCCGGCCCCGGAAGGACTCCCCTCGGTGTCGGAAGACTGTGGACTACTCCAGACTCGAGAGCTTCCCAGCTTGTCAGTGTCAGGTGTACACCTTCTCCTCGCTCGCGGAGCAGACCACACCGGTCGCGCAGTCTCTGAGCGCGCCGTGCTCAGATGTAAGGACCGCAGGTATCGCGAGCACCGGCCCCTGCTGTGAATGTCTCTTACCTTAATGAAACGCTGCTCTTACCGCCAAGTGGAAGCCACATTCAGTCAACTGTCGATGAGTCGTTCAATGCCGGGAAGTATGGAGTCTCCGTCTATGCGCGGCACACAAAGTTGCTGTGAATCTGTCAGGGGTCCCTTACAATCTTTGGGGGCCGGGTCCTGCAGTGTCAGCAGGGCCAGCAACGAGAGAAGCCTTGTAGACAATGTCTCGACTCCACCGCGTGTAGTCCGAAGCATCGTGGTCCAAGGACGTCTCAGTGACAATCCGCAATGTGAGCTTCGTGGATTTCGACTTGGATCGCCAGGAGAAGCTTCATTTGCATTGCACGATTTTGGAAGGGTGTCTTCTTGGCTTCCACATGCGCTGCGAAAAAATCTCAAGTTGGGACAAGTTGGCTGGCTGAGTTCTTGTGGTGTTTCATGTTTGTCGTGGGCCAATGAGTTGAGGCTGGGGCGACGTAGGCTCTAGCCTGGCAGGCGAAAAGTATGTCCTTGCCTGGACAGGGCGGACTTGTTTCTTGAGCGGACAGCGTCAGCATGGAGCTCGAAGCATACCGGTGCCGTCGTATCTTGAAGTTTGAGCTGCTTTCATTCATGGCCTTGGGCGCTGCAACCCCTCGCGAGACCGATTAGGTCGCACCACAACCCAGCCCCATCTGCTAGTATCTCTGGACAGCCTGCTTCATTTCCGCAAGCGCGCTGCACACATGAAGCCTTTCATCGCCGAATCTGCTCAACATTGCTGAAAGCTCTCAGCTGCATTCGGCAGGAACTGGGAGGTGAAATCTTCTGGGCCCTCCCCACCAGCACCGTGCAGACAGATGTGCAACGTGACTGCAGTGCTTAAGAGCGAGGTAGGTCTCACAGAGTCCTATGGAATTCTTTGTCTACGAGCATTACTCAGAGGACTTGAAGTGACGTAGACAAGAACCGGCAGTCCTGGGTCCCAGGTCAAACAAGGCCCGTCCACGAAGCTTCCAAGCGTTTGAATTTCAAGTCCATCAGTCTACCTTACCTACCTGTCTAGCGATCGTTTCTCTGACCCATCCAGCCAGCCCACTCTCCCATCCACCTTTTTCCGTCGCCTGTGCACGCCACGCCGTCCTCACAAGTAGACGACGGTTCATTTCGCTCAGTTACGCCTTCCCATACAGGTACGTTTGCACCCAATTAGTTCGATATGCGTATACCTGCATATGTGTACATGCTGTCGGTTTCGCTTGCTGGCTGATGCCTCCTCGGGTGTGTCCCCTATGCGGTTTTCCTGAGGTTGGTCATCACCCGCACGTAAATATCTACGGAATCACATAATGAAGCATCATAGTATTTACAGCCCCAGTTGCACCTCTTTCTGCGAGGTTGGGGTTCTTACCGTGAAACCAGCCAGTTAACAGCGCCCTGTGCTTTATCATGCGCTGCTGCACAATTCGTTTCGTGGTTAAAAGATTCCTTGGTGCGGTTAAAAATACTAGCCCCTGGTCGTGGTTATAACACCCCCTCCTGCGAGGTTGGGGTTCTTACCGTCTTTCTGCGTGTCTCTCTGCACCCATTCTCTCTCCGCTCCTTCTCCCTTCAGTCGAAGTCAAACCACCTTTCCCACGCAATCAAGCGCTTTGCTACCAGACTATCTGTGAGCTTCGAGCTTCGCCCATGACCCAACAGCTCAACTCGAAAGCTGCATCGATGGCACGCTGAAGAACTCTAGCATGTGCCCATGGATCGATTGCTTGGTGTCCCGTTGACTCAGGTCCGTGTACCTTGCCATGTCTCCCAGTGGCTCCGGCCGTTCGCTGGTGGCCCATGTGCCAGGAAGCACGGACACTATGGCGCTCGCAGCAGTCCCTTGGCAGTCTTGCAACTTGAGTGCTTCAGTGTCGACATGTGACACAATCCCAAAGCCGTCTCACGGGCTCGGGGCCGCGAGCTGGTCCCGAAGTCTTCAGCCAGTATTCCGAGGACACACCCAAAGGTGCTTTCCACTTCGTGGCAGTGTACGCAAGGCAGGCGGTGATGTTTGCACTGGTCCACCCTGCTTGGACTTGGCTGGATGTTTGCCGAGGGTGCCAAGCCGTGCTCTCTTGGAAATGCGGTTCCCCTCCGCCCCGCAAATGCTTGCGATGTAGCTCTACCTATAGGACCTAGGAGCTGCGCCAGGTCCCCCTTTGCTGAGCAGACGACGCCCTCAGTACTGCAGATCACCGATACCGATTCCTCCGTGGGCAACCTCACTTTTGTGGACAAGGACGGATGCAGGAAGTTGCAGACAATTCACCAATTTTGCTTTCCACGAATTGCACGTCAGGCCCTGCTTCTCAGGTTTGCATAGTGACATAGTGGTTTGCATGTTCTCCGGTTGCATCGAAATGTACGCAGAGAAAAGTGATTGCACACAGTGCCCAGGCAGGCATTGCTGCTGCCCCTCCCGCTTTCCTGAAGCTCCCAGAACTTCTGAGCAAAATACCTTACGCCGTGCAGGATCTCGACCTGGATGAGCTCGGTGGCATCGTTTCCTGGGACGAGTCTGCAGACACTGCGCAAGTGCAGGAGCGTGTCTACGGGGCTTGCGGTTGAAGTTGAAGGTGACCAGGTTGCAGACTGCGCCGACCAGAGTGCCTTTGGTTTCAGCTTCGGGAGTGCGTCTGTTTCGAAACAATCCAGGAGAAATTGCGGGGGGCGTGGTGCTGTGAACATCCGACATGACCTCAGGACTACCTGGTCTTCCTGGCGTCAAACGCGAGCGGAGATGACCGAAGTGCAATTGGTTCGCCACTGCCGAGCACTGGGCCAGTCCTTACGCTGGAGGCTCCATGACGACAGCCAGCCAACCGTTTGCAAGCCAAAGCACCACGAGTACTCAGAAACACGCGTGCCCTCTGCTTTGATACGTTTGATATGCGAGGGTCAGTAATGCTTTCAAAGCCACTGCAATAGATGATTAGGTGCACTTTATGTTAAGTCCAGAATCGATTTCAACCAGTGTCTTCAATCTGGTTCCATGGGTGTGTGAAGACTTGGCTCTCCCCGTAGCTGTCGGGGCACCTGCAAGGTAGGTGCGAGGTATGTGAGGACACACTCCATGAGCCAGGGGTCCAGTTCTCATTCGTTTTGGGTCGAGTGCGCTTTCTTTCCGAAGTCCAAGTGTTCGATTCCACTCGAGCACACGATTCGGGATATCCAGGAGTTGTTTTGCCGCGATGTTGGGGCGGGGGTTAAGGATTTATGGGTGTTTGAAATTTGTTGTTGGGGCAGTGCAATGCGAGCAGGCCGATCGATCCAAGCATGTGGTATTCAAGCATACGTCTTTCAAGTGGTCGCGACTCGAGCACAGTGCTCATTCAAGGACTGGCAGCTCCAGCACAAAAGCTGGTTCAAACCTCGAGGGTTCAGTCACACGCGAGTAACAGCCCGAATGATTCAAACACGCGCGATTCAAGAGTGTTTGATGCCTGCAGGGTGTAGGGACCGTAGGGTTGTGTTTAGGAGTCTTTGGATAAGCACCTTTGGTTGTTTTTGGGTTTTTGGGAGGTTTGGGTCTGAAAGCTTCAGAAGCAGTTTCCTGCAGCAGGCACAGCTGCCGCCTAACACGGGCTTGATGGCTTTCAAGCACGTGGCAGTGGCTTAACTGAATGAGCATCGCGACTCTCAGCAGTCCGGGAGCGAGTGCATGCTCCGGCCGTTGGTGCAATGCACACAGTGGTTTTGGACTTGAGAGTAGATCGGTGGATGGTACCTCGCTCATTTTTGTGCTCCTTTCTTCATCAGCACACGATGAGCATCAAGGTCTATGCGCGCTCCGCGTTGGCTGAGCAAAGTACCCCGGTTTTCGAGGACTCAGTTTGTCTCCCAAGAAGTCCTCCTCGCATGCCGCATGCTTTTGGGCCGCGTGACACGTGCTCAGTCGCACAGCATTGTGGGCAATACCCGTTGGCAACGATGCAAGCACAGTGCCAACCCTGCCCGAAAGGAGCTCAGCGATGCCTTCCTTACCTTGGCAGTGAATTTCACCGATCAGGACATTTGCCAAAGCAACGGGTGACTGGGTGTGTGACATGCGCCCGAGTTACCAGCCGTAATCAGGTCAGGATTCAGCAGCCAAAGCATCACGAACTAACTTGAAGCGGGCTTCCTGGGGAACGCCATAACACCAAAACAACTTCTTGTTGCAGCCTGCCTGTATGTTTTGCTCTCAGCTGGCACTTGGCGGCCCAGCCATTTTTTGGCGAGATCGTTCGGAGTGTTTTGTTGGCGGCTTGCTCTGGCTTTCTCACAGCAGCTGTCCTTTCTGTGCAAAGAGTTTCATCCACAAACGTAGCTGTATATAGCAAGGAACTAGCATGCCATTTTCCTGAATATTTTCCTGAAATTTGCGCAGGGTCTTGTGCAGCGACATGCTGAGGTAGGAACTGCCAGTCCTCGTAAACCGAACTCGCAGCCTTCTGGCACGCCTTTCTCGGTCGGCTCCCCCAGGACCGCACGTGCCCATAACTTAGGCCCACAACTACAGCACCGCCCGCAGGACTTGGATGAAGGAGACATCGGAGGCAAAGCATCGACCTCTGGCGTGGAATGAATTGTCCCGGCAAAGACAGAGCCTGATGCACGGTCTGAGTCATGTTTGGAGCTCTTAACGGACGTTCCCGCAAGTACGAAGTACGAGAGCCAATTTTTGCCATATTCCAAAACTAGCTATGGGCCGTCCTTGTTCTCTTCTGGTCCACATAACCTCGCGGCGCCAGGCACGCTTGCCTTTGATCTTGCTTCGGGCGACATTTCGCAGTGCCATGGCTGGACCCCAAAAAGCCCAAAAGAAGCTTCGAAGAAAGCAGTGGGGTCTTTTAAGTCTTTTGCACCGAATGGCAGACAGTGCAGTATGCTCGGGTTTCCCACTGCCGGCAGTTGAGCTTTACTGCAAAGACCCCCTGACTGAGGCTTCAACATTTCGTCATCCATCTCGCGGATGCAAAGGCGCTTTTCTGCGTTTTTCCAGCCGCACAGATGTGGAGGGACTTGCTTTCCAAATGATGAACTCAGACTGAACTTAAAGCACTAAGGACTAAAGTCACTAAAGCGCTTTCTCACTCATTTGCGCCTCTTGGCCAAATCCTTCTAGACTCATGATATGTCATGAGTGCGATATTCGCCCCCAGCGCAGACCGGGAGGCCTTGGCAGATCCTTGTGTTTTTGGCTGAGGGGTATTTCCTCACACTTTGTGGATTGCACTGCAAGCATGATCATGCCAGTATATAGAGGTGCGATGCCAGGCTCGGAGACGAGGATTGACCTAAGAGCTCTGCAGGACCATTCCGACACGTTTGGATCCAGCTTTTTTCTGCTTCAGGTGCCGCCATTTCGGCGCTTCCACCTTGGCGACGCGATGCCAGGTGCGACTAGCCTGACGGCCATGAACCTGGCTTGTTTATGGCTGCTTCCCCGTACGGGATTGGCACAGGGGGCCTGAGCGCAGCCGAGGTGGCACCGGAACTGCCCGCAGAGAACTTTACACACTTCCTTGTGCAACTTGGCCTGGCAGAACTCTACTCGGCAAGACTTCGCTGCCACCAGATTTCGGTGTATGGCGTGTGCGGAAATCTAAGCCTCACCACGGTGAGAGATTCTGACATGCCGCCTATTGTGACGAAACATCTCAGGTACGGTCAGTCCAGCCTTTTCGAGCAAACAACTCCCTCTGTGGTGGAGCTGGTGGACAACAATGCCAGCGTTTCTGGTGCCCCGAAAGGACTTCAGGTTTGTCTTGGGCGGGTTCACAAATTTGGAGAAGAAACTATGCAACGAACAAGGAAGGCCTCATCCATCTTGCATCTCATGCGACGCCCCGATTTGTTGGCACCTGCAAGGCTTTATTTACGGCGAGGGAATTACGGTATCAGGCATTGTCCATTGTTTCAGGTACTGCTTTCACCGACTTGGACCTCGACGGGTACCAGCTCGGGGGGAGTGTGTCTTGGTCCCTGCCGGAAAACTTGAACGAGGCAGCAACTTAAGCCTTGCCAGCTCTCTTTCAGAATCACAATCAGGAACTTTAGAGTTTTTGACAGTGGTTGAAGGCTTTGGAGCTAGCTGCAGGAGGTTGTAGGTGATATCTTCCAGTCCTGACGGATGAATGCAGTCTCGTGGCCAGTCGCTCCGAGAATTGTAGCTTCCAGGATACAATTTGTATGTAGCATTTCCCTGATGCTTTCTCTGATGTTGCAGGTGGCGCACTACAACGTGTATCTCTCTGATGGCCTCGGCATCAACCGCTCACAGATCAACGGGGCGTTGGCGTTCACTGCAACATCGGTGGAAGCTTGGCTACACGAGAATTTCATAACAGTTGGTTGTGATGCCTGGATGTCCTTCGGACGTTCCGAATCGGATCTTCCAGTTAGGATCAGACAATAGCAAGGTTGAGAAGCTGCGGTTGATATTTGGGAGCCTGTTGTTTTTGTTGTGTTCAGCCTGAAGGGGTCCACTGTTTTTTTTTTTCCTAGGTCTGGCCTGGTCTGGGGGGCCTTGCTAGGTCTGGTCCCATGGTCCCTTGGTCCCCTGGCCCTTTGGTCCTCTGGTCCTGGTCCCCTGGTCCTTTGGTCCTCCGGTCCCCTGGTCCCTGGTCCGCAACGCCAGAAGACAGAAGATTTGACATTGGCATTTCGCACTATTCACACGCGAAACACGACCCTGCAAATTGTAGTGCTCCAATACCTTCATGCAATACACAAGCAAAACCAGACCCTGCGAATGCTAGTTCCCCATTAGCTTGATGAAAAACACAAACAATAAAAGACTCTGCAAATTGTAGTTCCCCAATATCTTGATGCAAAACACAAACAAGGGGATAGGGGTTAACAAAATTAAATAAGGATCAAAAAAATTACATAAGGATCAAGAAATTAAATATGGATCAAAAAAATTCAACGGGTATCCGCGAAAGGAAGGGGAAAAAGGCAGGAAAGAAAGACAGAGAGAGAGAGAGAAGGAGAGAAAGAAGGAAAGAAAGAACGAACGAAAGAAAGGAAGAGAAAGAAAGCAAGGAAGAAAGAAAGAACGAAAGAAAGAACGAAATAAAGAAATGAAAAACAACGAAAGAAAGAACAAAAGAAAGAAAGAAAGAAACAAAGAAAGAAAGCCATGCAAGAAATAGAGAAATAAGTAAATAAAGAAAGCTACAAGTAAAGAAAGAAAACAAAAATAGAGAACTAAGTAAATCTAAAGAGGACGAAAGAAAGGAAACATAAAGAAAGAAAGATAGAACGAGAGAGAGAACGAAAGAACGAAAGCAAAAACGAAAGAAAGAACGAACGCAAGAACGAAAGAAAGAACGAACCAAAGAAAGAACGAAATAAATCAAACCAGTTTGAGATGAACAAAGAAAGAACAACAGAAAGAAAGAAAAGACATGAGCGAGCGAAAGAAAGAAAGAAGTCCAGAATAAAAAAGCAAAGTTGGAAAAGACGAAAGAGAAAGAATATGAACGAATCACAGAAACAAAGATACAAGCAACAGGATACTACATAGTCCAATCGAATTTGCCATAATATCGTAATGTACCGTAACATAATATAACATAATGTAACCTAATGTTATAAAATATACTACATATTATGTTGTAAATATACACACTGTATTGTACTATGTTACAATGTACTACACTATAAACTAAGATGTTGTTTTGTTCTATGTCATCTTCTGTTATATTGTATTGTTGTATTTTTAGTATGCTACTATATGCTATAAGAAGCAAGGTTCTGTTATGTCAGAAAATGTCACACCATTTTTGTGTTGTCGAACCATCTTATGTCGTTCTTCTGGTTTACTATGTTATATATATATACACATATATATTAGGTTAGAATGCTAACGGAAGAAGAGACACGAACAGGCACGGAAGAACAAAACACCCGCCACCGCGCTTTTCGAGACGTGCAAGCTTGATTCAAAGAGTGTTTTCGAAGCCCATCATGTGAACGTTGTCTCTGCAAATGGGGGGGGCTGCGCCCCCCCCAACCCCCCCGCTGTTTTAAGCCGTGCAGGGTTGCTTTGAAGCATATGCCTTTTTTTGAAACCCAGCAAATGAGGGCGTCTCCGCCCTTGTAGATACATGCTGAACCAGAATCGCCAAATGAGGGGCGTGTTTAAGATAGATGATGAAGCGGAATACCAGCAACAGCTACAACAGGAAATCCGTCCTAAATGTGAAATTGTAAGGAAAATTTGATTTTCCCGAGGAACAACCATATGTTGTCCTTCTGAAAACCTGAAGAAATGACACGAACGCCATAGGTAATAGGAAAATGTCCTTTTCCTACGAAAAATCAAGGAAAACTTAGGGAAATACAACGGAATCCGCAGGAATATCGTGTTTTCCAGAGGAAAAACCAAACAGATCCTAAGGAAATAAAAGAACATCCCCAGGAAAACAGTGTTTTCCCTTGGAAAAATTCACGAATTACTGTATTTTAAGTGATTTAATTTTTTTTGATCCTTATTTTAATTTTTTTGATGCCTCTGCCCCAGGAATTGCTGTGTTTTGAGTGATTTAATTTTTTTTGATCCTTATTTTAATTTTCCTTGATCTTTCCATTTAATTTTTTTTGGATCCTTATTTATTTTTTTTTTGATCCCTCACCCCAAACAAGGCCGACCCCGCAAATTGTAGTTCCCCCATTAGCTTGATGCAAAACACAAGCACAAGAACACACCGCAAATTGTAGTTCCCTAGTGGCTTCATGCAAAAGACAAGCAGATGAACACACCGCAAATTCTAGTTCCCTAATAGCTTCAGGCAGAACACAACTAGAAGAAGACCCTGCGAATTGTAGTTCCCCAATAGCTTGATGCAAAACACGAGCAACACCGATCCCTGCAAATGCGAACCCCCCAATAGCTTCATGCAAAACACAAAGAAAACCGAACCCTAGAGCAACAACAAGAACACCAGCAACAGCAGCAACAACAACAACAAGAACAACTACCACGACGGCAACGACGAGGACGAGGACGAGGACGACGACGACGATGACCTAGATGTCGACAACGACACCAAAAAACAACGCCAGAAGACAGAAAATTTGAAATTGGCATTTCGCACTATTCACACGCGAAACACGACCCTGCAATTGTAGTGCTCCAATACCTTCATGCAATACACAAGCAAAACCAGACCCTGCGAATGCTAGTTCCCCATTAGCTTGATGAAAAACACAAACAATAAAAGACTCTGCAAATTGTAGTTCCCCAATAGCTTGATGCAAAACACAAACAAGGCCGACCCCGCAAATTGTAGTTCCCCCATTAGCTTGATGCAAAAACACAAGCACAAGAACACACCGCAAATTGTAGTTCCCTAGTGGCTTCATGCAAAAAACAAGCAGATGAACACACCGCAAATTCTAGTTCCCTAATAGCTTCAAGCAGAACTCAAGCAGAAGAAGACCCTGCGAATTGTAGTTCCCCAATAGCTTGATGCAAAACACAAGCAACACCGATCCCTGCAAATGCGAACCCCCCAATAGCTTCATGCAAAACACAAAGAAAACCGAACCCTAGAGCCCTAGAGCAACAACAAGAACACCAGCAACAGCAACAACAACAACAAGAACAACTACCACGACGGCAACGACGAGGACGAGGACGAGGACGACGACGACGATGACCTAGATGTCGACAACGACACCAAAAAACAACGCCAGAAGACAGAAGATTTGAAATTGGCATTTCGCACTATTCACACGCGAAACACGACCCTGCAAATTGTAGTGCTCCAATACCTTCATGCAATACACAAGCAAAACCAGACCCTGCGAATGCTAGTTCCCCATTAGCTTGATGAAAAACACAAACAATAAAAGACTCTGCAAATTGTAGTTCCCCAATAGCTTGATGCAAAACACAAACAAGGCCGACCCCGCAAATTGTAGTTCCCCCGTTAGCTTGATGCAAAACACAAGCACAAGAACACACCGCAAATTGTAGTTCCCTAGTGGCTTCATGCAAAAGACAAGCAGATGAACACACCGCAAATTCTAGTTCCCTAATAGCTTCAAGCAGAACACAAGCAAAAGAAGACCCTGCGAATTGTAGTTCCCCAATAGCTTGATGCAAAACACAAGCAACACCGATCCTTGCAAATGCGAACCCCCCAATAGCTTCATGCAAAACACAAAGAAAACCGAACCCTGCAACTTGTGGTTCCCCAACAGCTTCATGCTAAACACAAGCAAAATCAGACTCCGCAAGTTGTAGTTCCCCAATAGCTTCATGCAAAACAGAAGCAAAACCAGAGCCGTCGAATTCTAGTTCCCCAATAGCTAGATGCAGCAAAGACCGCAGTTGCCGCTGTTGGCAACCACAACCAGTGGGCCAGACTTAGGAAAGCAAGCCGGGGAGGGCCAGACCTAGGAAAAAAAAACCGCTCCGCCCAGCCTGAAGGGTTCGTAGGGTGGACCAGAATTGAAACCATGATGATCTGATGAGAGCTTGGCGAAGGCATGACTGGAGATCCGCCTTGTTGGACGCACGGACCATTGCGCTTGTGTGATGCCAACATCAAGATTTTGCAGCTTTCCACACTTAGGAAATCGCAGCAGATACAGGGAAGCGCGACTACTCCAGATTGGTGCCGCAGCAGCATCAGTATCCAGCACGCTTTGGCTTTGAGCTTACAGTCCATATTGCCTGCAGAAAGTCATTGTCAGTTTCTGGGAGGTGGTACGGTGTAGCTGGCATTCGCAGACAGCAACAGCCTGGCATGTTGGCCATGGATCTCCAGGTCGTTTATACCGCATCTGCACTGGTCGAGCAGGCGTGGGTGGATTGGGATTAGTTGAGCGTGCGATGATATTTCACCATGTAACATCTGGAACGGTTGGCTCACATGAACAACTTAACTATGCCAGGGCTTTGCTGATTCTGGGTAGCCACTCGGCGATCACAACGTGTCCGTGTCCCATAAAGCAAGTGCTGAAACAGCATTGCGGGTGGAATGCTCAGACGCAGCTTCTTATTCGAATCCATGTGGCAAACCGTCTTGGCGGCGTGCCTGCTAATATTCGCGCAGTGTGATCCAAGTGTCCCTCTATCCACAACGACTCCCACATCCTCTTCACCTCCGTGAATTCAGCATGTCGCGGCCCTGACGAACAGAAAGACGGAAATTCCGATGGGTGCGCTTTGCATTCATCCGTTCTTTCGGTAGATGGTAGTGCAAGCTGTGATTCCACAGGGAGGCTTGATGAGACCAGGTCGAGTGGGGGGGATGTGAGCGAGTTTAGCACTTAGCGCGATCTGGGCAGACGACACCGGATTCCACGGACCTGGTTGACACAGAGTCGCGGATCGAGGATTTGACCTTCCTGGACGAGGCCGGGACGGACTTTGGTCTCTTGCAGGTCCGCCTCTTGCATTCAGACTTGTTCATGAAGCGCTTAAAGGTCAAGGTTGGGTCAGTGCTAGCGCATTCGCGGTTTGGGAGAGCTTGAAGGCTTTGGAACTAACTGTTAGACTCGCAGGACCTTGATCTTGAGGAAGTTGGCGGAAACGCTTCCTGGAATCCTGCAAACGACAGTCGTCACTGGGCCAACAGGAGGGTTGAAATTGAGCGGTTGATTGAGTTTCGGAGCATGAAGGCCACAGGTGGCAAAAGGGCAGAAGAGTCTTTCAATGTCGCGGGTTGGTTTGATGCTGTGCTGTCGCTTTGCGCTGGTTTTGCTTCTCAGGCTATGTTCTGGGCTACCAGGCCCGGCATGAAAGTTTGCAGCCAGAAGAGCCAGAACGCGAGCTTGCAGATATTATTATCAAACTTGGCCAGTTCTTGAAGCGGTTCGCAGACCGCTTCCTTCAGGTCTATCGTAGTTCATTCTCTTCGGTTTGAGACTTGAGAGCTTCATCACAAGCAGCACAGGGGATATGTTTATGGTTGCTGACTGTCCGTGCCAAAGCAGGAGGCACCCAGGTTCTTTCAGGCAAGTTTGTGCGTGCAAGTCCTCGATTTCGACAGTGGGTCACTATGGAGGTGCCATCAGAAACAGTGAGGAAGAGAATCATCGCAGGTGTACCTTGCCAATCTATCTGACGGTTCCCGGGGACGGCAAGCAGTGGGTGGCTTCTTACCCGCCACCCGCTCAAAGTATGGTGAAGAGCTCTCAGGGGCCTAACAGCGTTGCGTTCAGGGTATTCGTAGGGGAGCAAAGCCTGTGCGCACTGACGTTCAGACGGACGCGTTCGGCTGTCCTCGCAAGCACTAAGTCTTTGAGGTCGAGCTGACCTCCATCCTTGTGCCCGTGAACCTGCCGCTGCAGAGCTTCCAGTACCTCCTGGCACTTCCCTTGGCTTAAGGAACTGTCCAGGGGCATTTGGGACAAGCGGCGGTGTCTCAAAAGTTGGTAGGGGCATGCCTGTCGTTTACAGGCGCTGGTGATTTGTTTTTGTTTTTTGCATGCTTGGTGTGCTGTGGCAACATAAACTACGCAATTTCGATGGGATCTCAGATACAAGGAGCAGCTAGGAGGGAGCAGATAAAATCGCGCAAATGCAGCGAGCACTGGATTCACTGAGCGCTTTGGCTTTGTCTGCTTTGGCATTAGTGGTATGTAAGATTATGTAAGAGTGATGTGCATCCAGCAAGGTTTTGGACAACACTCCCCCTCGCTCTCTCTTTCTGTCTCTCTGTCTCTGTATCCCTCGCTCTCGCTCTTGTTTTTTTGTTATCTCTCTCTCTCTCTCTCTCTCTCTCTCTCTCTCGCTCTCTTCCGCTCTCTTCCGCTCTCGCGCGCTCGCTTTCGCTCGGTCGCTCTTCCTTTTTTTTTTTTTTTTCTCTCTCTCTCTCTCTGTCTCTCTGTCTCTCTTGCTGTTAGTCTGCGACGCATTCAACTTAGACTTCCATGACTTGCCCGCATAATTATGAGCGTTTTGCAGACGTGCTCAGGTCTACACCCGCTCGTCGCTAGCGGAGCAGACCACCCCTGCAGCCCAAGGTTTCAATGCCGTGACCTCGGTTCAATCGGGTGTGCATCGAACTTTCGGGGTGAAGCCACAGAACCACTTGCTTCGTGCTTGGCATACTCCGGACATTTTGCACGAGAGTCGTGTGCGTTCTGTGCAGGACACGTTTGCTCCGGTCTCGCAGCTCCAGTTCGTAGACAAGGCCAATTGCATCTTTCTGAACGAGCCTCATTCGCTGCGTGGATTGTCGATCCTTGCCATGATGGCATGGTTTATTGTGGAGTTGTCGCCTCTCGTAGCTTCTGATCACAGACTCACTTCCGTGTGAATGCGTAGTGCACCACACTTCTCGCAGACGGTAGAATGTGGGGGTTCCTCCAGTGGCAGCAAAGCCAGGACTTGGACGGGTCAGAAGTCGGTGGACAAGTGTCCTGGGAACCACCGGAGGCGAGGCGGACGAAGAGTGGCCAGCTCGACAGTTCCAGACCCTAGGCCCTAGAGTCTCTAGAGGCCCCAGACATCTCTTTCGATCTAGAATCGATCCATGACAGCGCTCGCGAGTGCAGGGCTCCCGAGTGCACTGCCCCACGTACCCAATAGCCACTGCAGAGGCTTCCCAGCAGACGGTTGCTTCGCTTGCACATCCGCTGTGTTACTTTGACTTGCCCTGAGCCAGTCTCGGATGTGGAGTGCTATGCATCGCCCTTGAAGCCAGGATCTTGCACGGGTGGTTCTTTATGCCGCCCTCGTCGTGTTTGGTATGTGGGTGAACCTGTGGGGTACTTGCTGTGCCTCATCGCAAAAGGATAGCCTGTGCGGGACGCAAAGAGAAAGGACGTGCTTCGATGCAAGTTTAAGTTTGTGTATATATTCACGCACGTCTTCATGTGTAATCTAGTCAGTGGGCATAGGATTTCCTTGGAGCCCTTCCGTAAAGTGTTCATGCGTTTGGTTGCTTCACGGATGCGATTTAAGACAGGCTGTGTACCTGTCCGCCACCGCCACCGGAACAGGACAGGGTGCGCGGAAGAGCTCGTCAGATCGCTTCATTAGTTAAGGCGTTCCGTGTTATGACCTCCTGTCTCGACGGTGGTTTTCGAGGCAAATCGTGTTGCATTTTGCTCTTACGACGACAGACTGTCTCCGAACAGTGCAGGAAGATCTTTGGTGGGAACGGCACCTGCACCCGCTGTCACTACACCTGTGCCCGCCCCACAGTCTATGGCTGGCGACTGGCTGTTTCCGGGTTCAACCTAGCAAGCTTCGACACATCCCAACTAGAACGTGACTACGGTTCCTGGCACGTGCCGACTGGGGTTGTCAGAGCAAGGGACCGAGAAGCCACTCTAGCCTGCTTAGCACGGGAAGCGGGAGAGTCTCCCACGCCTTTAAAAGCCGTGTGACTGAAACCATGGATCACACTGTAGCGTACCGCGTCTGAAATGGTCTGAAGCTGAGGGTTCAGTTTTAAATCCTCGGGCAAAGCCATGAGGCTTGACATTCCCTTGGACACCATTCTTGGTGCCGGGGTCCCGGATTTCTGTTCGTTCCTTTTTGCCATTTCTAAACACAGTTTGTCACCCAATGATGGTCGCGTGCGGCGCTCGTTCAATGCGAGCCCTCAACCAGGCCTGAACCAGAAACTTGAACGAGAGCGGTGCAGGCCGAAACGAATACCAACCGGATTTCTTGTGTCACTGCTGCTGTGAATCTGTGGTGCAGGCGTCGAACCAGTGGAGATGACACTAATTCATGCTTGTTCCTCTTGCTTGTACCTCATCCTCAAAGCTGCCCAACATACCTCGAAGCTTGTTTCAATTACCAGCGTCTCGCCAAGCCACTGAACCTCAGCTTCTTCCAGGCTTTCACACACGTTCTCACCTACAGCCAGTCCATTGCATTCGAGCAGAGTACTCCCGTGGCGCTGTTCTTCAACGACTCCTCCTTGCTGGCCTGCACGGGGAATCAGGATCACGGTTAGGGTTGAAGGTTGTAGAGTTTGTTGTGAGCCCGTCGGGGGCTCCGGCTGCACATTCCAGCCTTTTCCGGAAGTAGGTTCTCGCTCCATTCTGGTTCAGACATGTGCAGACCGGAAACTTTTTTGTACCGCAGACTTTTTCATCGCTCTTTACTGTAAGACGATCTCCCCGGCAAGGAAGATTGGTGACTTGTTTCAGTCCGGGGACACTGCATTCAAGGGGTTCTTCACGATTGGAACTCGAGCGCTGGATCTACCGTCTTCCCAACCTCTCGCAAAGTGAGACTTGCTAACCGGCCCCACTCCGCAGGTGTAAGAACGAAGAAATGATGGGCCGAGACATCATCCCAAAGCTCTCAGGGAGACATCAACCTGCAACGATTCGAACAAGAACCACCGGAGGTTCGGGACCTTTCCTTCCTGGATCAAGACCTGGACGACTGGGAGATTGGTGGGAAGGTGAGGCTGTGATTCTGTGCATGTGTGTTCGACGGAGGAGGGTACGGTTGTTTGGGGATTGGTTCAGGACGAAGCTGCTTGCTGGGCTTTTTGTCTTGATGATTAGGTGTTGTATGGTTCGGTCACGTACTGAAGATTTGGCAAAGCAAGGCAAACTGTGGCCGGAGAGTCGGACAGCCGTTCACGCAGCAGTCGCGACTACTGACTGGAGATTCTGCGAGAAAGCATGCTGAGGTGAGCTGGACGCCGCCAGAAGATCCTGGAGTTTTGGAAGGCACAGCAGAAGATCTCGAAACGCAGTTGTTTCCCTGCACCTTGGGGATCTGGAGTTACAGAGTCTCTGCGCATGTGCTGCTGGCGAATAGATCGCAATGGAATGCAGTGAAGACAGGTCGGGAAGGCAACATTATATGCCCTGCAACGCCTCAGACGGTAGTGCTCACCTTCCAGCTCGACGCCAAGTCCGCTTCAGATGCTAGCCGAGTATGAATGCAGTGACGTGCACGGGCAGGCTATGTGCTCTACCTGGCCGTTCGGAGCTTGGGGACTCTATTTGCAGCTCTGAAGCTTGAGAAGTGACCGCTGTCCCAGCTATGGTCTGGTCTGCGAGGTCTCTGCCACGGGTTCGAGCCGGTCTTTGCTCGGAAATGTCACAGCCGCCCGTCACAAAGACGACTGCAGAAATTCGAGGCGTTTCTGGAGGAGTTGAGGATCAAAGCTTTCGAGCGAGAGGTTTCATGTCGGCAGGAGTCTTTCGAAGCCGAGGTGTTGAAGCTTGCCCTGACGCCATCTGCTGTAACCACAGTTCCCCCGAATTTTATATTGTCCTGGACCCCGGACTGCCAACCGGGCGCCGATGCTCGCTGCTGCTAGCTGGTTACAGCAAGCTCCTGGCCAGAAGTGCAAGAGACACTTACACAAGGTTGGGGCCAACTCCTTGGACATCTCAGCCGATTCCCCTTTGGGAAACTACACCCACGTGCTGGTCTACACAAGGCTCTCTCTTTGACATGCCTTTGGTTGAAATGTTGCTTACCTGACAGGCGTCAAGCGGCATGCAGTATGAATATGTCCTATTGCTGCCAGTACCAGTAGCTGCCAAGGCTGCCGGAACTGTCGCTTCGACACGCTTTGGCTTTAAATTCTTGCTCAACCACACATTCGAATTGCTGAAGCTTGTGTGCCTTTCTCAAGTGCCATCGGGTCTCGTCTTTTCGTGCCCCAAAGCCGAAGTTATAAGCACAAGCGATCTGTAAAGCAACCCTCATCATCAGACCGGACCAGAAGCTATTGGGGAAACTATCAAGTATCAAACTGTACGGCTCATCGATGTGATGGTGAGAGACAGTGAGAGACATCGCAGCGAGTTGAAGATTAACGGCAGTCTCCAAATTTGTCAGGTCGGACTTCGGGGAATCCTCCATCCCAGAAGCAGTGTGGGTTGGCTGCAACTGCGGAGTGCTTGTCACGGAAGTTTGGTAGACGCTGCAAGTTTGGTATGCGGGATGGCAGCGGCTGTGAAGGCCTAGCCATTCTGCATCGCAAGCTTCGCCAAACGCAAACCTCTGTTGCGACATGCTACCCAGCATTGTGAGCAAATTCTTCACACGGCCAAAATTTACACAAGTTCTTTTCCTCCATCGCCGAAGCCGGAACTGCGGGGTGTACACGGTGTAACCATTCCTAGTGTCCTCGGTATCAGTCCTGATCGATTTCAGGCGAGGCCTGGTAGGTACGGGGATGTCAGGAGAAAAGCCACTGAAGATAAACACGCTGGCAGCAAGGGTTGCAAGGATGGCAGCATCGTGGCTGCGACGTACCACTCAGGCCTATCGTTGATGTGTTCTCTCGCGTCACCGACCTGGACTTCGTGGACAAGGCATGCTTCCCGGCTTTCTGGCTTTGTAGTCCAACTTCTCCTGTTGGATCTCGTGGGATCATCATAGTGTCCCGAGTCTACACGATCTGCATAAGCATTAGTGCGAACACGTGATATGCGGACAACCACGGGGTCGCAGTAACTTCAAGCTGTGACATGATGGTGATTCAAAAGGACCTCGACGCAGAGCAGCTTGGTGGATTCGTTCGCTGGATTGCACCGGCGGATGTGTCACAGGTTCGGGCCTCAGGCCGATGCAGGCCCAACACGACCCAGCTGGATGTTGTTGTGCTAGTAGCCACTCAGAAGCTAAACCTTGTGTCTCAGGCTCCGAAGGTTCTCACACCATGGCTAGAGTCTCAACAGTTGATGAGAACACACACACACACACACTCCTAAAAAGCAAACCAGGATGCTACCGCGACAGTGTGTGTGAGCTGCTCTTTTTGCTTCGATTTTCAACCGAGCGAGTGTAGACACCTTGACAAGAGCACATTCCCAAGCGTGCCACAGTACCGTTGCCTTATTCGCGCACTAGAAGCAGATCCCCCTTCCCGAGCTAGTGGTGCACTGGGCATCGGACATCTTCGCATTGCGGCTCAAACGCGTCCGTGCCTTGGCCTGGAAGCCGCCCCGGCACTCTGAGAGCCCGTGCCCCAGCAACAGTTCGGGAGTTTCCAGCCAGGCCGTTGGTTGCACAAAAAAGGCTTCGAGCTTTGCATTTTGAGTCATGCTAGCTGCAGTGTGCGGCTCTTCGGAAGGTTCTCCCAGGAGTGCTGTGTTCCGCCGGTAATCTTGCATGGGGCTTGAAGTCTGGCTCTTGCCGACACTAGCTTGCAGAGTTCGGGATGAGTGGGTTACGGTGAGGCTTCTACAGGACAGTCTGGAGCCTCTATTTTACGATTTCGCCAGCCGTTCCTGCTGCAGAAGATCCAGAGCAACAGCCTACTTGCAGTCACCACTCGTTTCACTGTTTCTCAAGTCGCGTCATGGAGTACATGCTTGCAGGCTTAGAGGCTGTGCTAGAGGACGGAATCGGTTGGACCCTTTCGGCCCTTGAGCCGGACCAACCTTCAGACCCCGTCATGACAGGCCATGCCGGTGTTGCAAGGCGGCGATTGGGCTTGCGCCCAAGAATGCCCAAGAAGCCTTAGCCCAGATTCAGATGCGGCTGCTTCTGGCATGGCTTTTGCCAAAGCCGCAAGAACATGTGGTTTTGCTTCAATATGCCTCTATCAGACGACTTCTGTTTTTCAATTAGAGTCGGTTGAAATCCGCTTCGCCGGACCGAGTACCACATCGAGGGGGAGACCCCCGCACAGCTGAAGGAGCCTGAACAAAAGGTGGGCGGCCTTTACGTTGCCTCACCCCTTCGACTTGGCCACAAAAAGGATGAAGTAGGGCTGCCGATATACGGTGACGTCAAAGCTGCTGCGTAGTACTTGTACATCTCTTTGGAGCGCGTAGCAGCAGAGCAGCAGCCCGCCTCCCAGACGTGACATGGCTCATGCCCTGGACAGTAAAAACATCAAAGCAACTTTGAGTGAAGTTGCGAAATAGAGTCTTGTCAGTAGTCACATACAGGTCGAAGTGTGATGCGAGAGTTTGGGGATTTCTGAGGGCTTCGGACGCTTGCCGCACAGCCACACAAACCGATGTCTCTGGCACAGCTGCGTGCGGCGGTAGGCAGAAAACAAGCCCGGACATCGCCCTCTGGGCTCCTACAAGCTGCCGACACTGGGCCTTTTTGATTTGAAGTCGAAGCATAAACTCCAACTTGACTTTCGGGATCTTTTGGGCGGGCCTGGAGCTCGCTAGCCCACGAGGTTCACAAGCTCAAGTAGCGTAATAGGTTCATTGAAGACTGCGAGCCCCCTGCAAACGGCCATCTTTTTGCCCTCGACCTTGCAAATGCACTGCGCCCTGCAATGACCCGAGCGACGGGGACGCATCGCAAAATCGAAGCACTGCATGATGTTCCCGGGCGGCCAACGGGAGAATCGCCGTACAGCCAAGGAAATGGGTCTACCACCCGGAGCGAGCCAACCGCAGGCACGAAGTCCCTGACAGTTTCTTTCTTTTGCTGTTCTTTCCTGCAACTTCCTGGTCCTGTCTAGGGAGGGCTGAAGCGCAAGGTAGCGCTCCATCCAACGAAAACGATAATGGTAGGATTCAAGCCACCGCGAAAAGTCTGGGTATCGACGTAAAGAGCCATGATATTCCAAGAGTCCTCCCAGCAGTGACCAAACATCAGCCATGACAACCTGCACAGGATTGTCATCAACAAAGAGGACTACTTCGGAATGGCAGCAGACGGCCTGCGGAACTTTGATTTGTGGAATGTGGCCCACGTCGCAGCAGCCTCGGTGGACAAATGGCCGAAGACCCCAAACCCGATCCCCGAAATGACGTGTTCCCGTGTCCAGCCTCGAATTCAGCACATATTCCACATCGAGTTACTAGTATACGTCAACTCGCACTGCTTCTCACTTGGGTTTTGCAGTTCCATGCTTCCTATCAACCGTTTGAGATCGTTTGAGTGTCCACACTGTGGTCAAGCAGTTCGGAACCGAGCCTGGCATGCATCCGAACCTCAACCGGCTGAGCGAGGAGGCTCAGTCAGCATGATCGCCACGATGCAGACGCCGGGGCTTGCTGTAGCCTAGTGATGTAATACCGATTATTTCGCTTAGCAGTGTGGCCGTGGGGTGCAAAGATGAGAGCTCGGTCCCTGGTTCTGCGTCGTATGCAGGAGAGTTTTTGGGCCAGCGCCGGGATGGCAGTCCTTCGAAGACGCTCGCTACGTAAACTGTAGATGTTGCGCAGCAAGGCTGCATCTGTTTCGGCGGGCAAGTCTAGCCTCGTGCAAAAGTAATTGCTCTTGGGGTTCTCTTGCCAGCTGTTTTCAATTCACAAGTCACAATGGGTCCATCAAAGGCCGGCTACGCAGCAGGGGAAATGCGCATCACTCCACTGCGGATGCTGCGTCAAAGAATCACACATCAACACATCACGTAAATTTGAGCATCAGCGGTGCAGACGCAACCTTTTGCCAGCGTCACCGAATACGGCAAGACCGACAGAAGCCCAGCGGACGCTGATGCCGTCAGGGTTTACGGCATTTTCAACATGTTTTGGCAGCGCCCTTTGTTGCACACAACGCCTGTATACAGCACTGCCTGACAAAGAAAGGCCGCATACCACGACGACTTGAAACTCTTGTCGATGGCCATAGCCTCAGGGCCTCAGGGCCACGACAAAAGATGTGTACAAGTCTGCACAACTGATCTAAACCGGAGTCTTCAGCCCTGAAGGACACGGCAGGTCTGTGTGCTCAAAGCTTCCAAAACCTTGCCAGTCTTCCAGGCCACTCTTGAGCAATGCAAGGAGCCAAACAGGCCGGAGTAGTGGCTGATCTCTGTTGGTGAGACGTGCGTTGGTTGCAATGTGGGAGCATCGTAGAGCAAAAGCTGGCCTTTTCTTTGAGGCGGAAATTGTGCATTATTTCGTCTTTGTGGCGTTCGATGAATTCAGCAGACTGGGGGCACACTAATCCTGACCCGTGCGAGGTGGGGAATGACCCCAATGCACATGACTGGCTTGGGACAACATCCTTACGGCACCACTGGCAAGGATTCTGGTCGGCAGAAGTGTCAGGTGCCAGGTGAGTGAAGCGAGCTTTTGCTCAAGATCGTGATAATTGCACGCATGGCACATGGTTTCTTGCGGGGTGGGGCATCATCATTCGACAAGCGGTTCTTTGCAAATTTCTGAAGCTCCGGGCTCACAGCGATCGGAGGCTGCTCGCTGCTTCGTATACATGCGAAGATTTGCACCTTTGTGGCAGGCCCCTCGCTTTGCGTCCTCTGGGAGCTAGTCCAGATGGGGGCAGCGGACCCAATGGCCGGCACCCGAGCAGATACCTCGATACAGATACAGCCACGGACTGGTAGTGGAAGTAGCAGCCGTTGTTTAGTAAGTACTCAGTAGAATGCCGTCATGACAGCAAACGGATCCCCCGAGCGCGTGAAGCCTGCGCAGTGGCGAAATGGCGCAGCGCTACGACGGTGCATCCCCTCAACGGCGATGGGTGGTAACATTGCCTTGGAGCATCACCGCGAATTACACAACTCAGTATCGAATAGCATCGCAAATTGCTGAGCCTGCGAAATGCGAACGCATATTCGCGACTCGCCTCGGGGAGCATTGCACTGCAAATTTGGCATCAATAAAGCAGTCACCGATGCCAAAGTAGTGTTCCAAGTGAAGCGATCAAGCGATCCTCTAGTGCTCTTCCCTGTGAACGTTTGGAGATTGCAAGTTTGCACGCCTGCCACAGAATGCCTTGGGTTGCCGGGAATTTGCTGACTGCATGCGTACCTCAACGCCCTAGCATGCAGAGCTTGCAGCTTTGACACTCGGTGCCTTTCTCGATATGTAGTCTGAGTGACAATGTGGTATGCTGGCCATTCAGCCCAACACAATTTTAGCAAGTTTTTCTCAATCAAACGAGTTTTGATTCGCGCATAGGCTGTAGTTGCAACGTTGCGAGATGAAGTCCAATTGCGTCAGGCCCTGAACTCTGCAGACCAAAGTCCCTGGCACATCGCGCAGCGGATGCAGAAGCCATCCCACCTGAAGAAGTGGGAGAAGGTGCGACACTTCGAGTTGACTTGAAAGTTTGTTGTGCGTTTGAGATTTAAGGATGGCATTCAAAGGCTGGGTGGCTTCAGTCACCATGGTTTCTTGAAAGTGCATGTGCAAGTAATCCACAGGCATGGGAAAACTCTGCAAACTGTCCAAACAGACCCTCGCAAGATTGCCATCCCAGCAATGAATTCCATTTTCTCTTCACCAAACTCGTGCCGGTGCAAACGGAATTTAAGACTAGCGTGACTAGCGGCTTCTCAAAAAATCGCCCAACGAAGATTTACAGCACAGTTCCCAAAGCGAGCACCCTTGGGGTGGTGTGCCAGTTTCAGCATCTTTTTGTGCCGCACCGACCCCCTTGTCCGGAAGCATGCTGTTGAGCTAAATGCGCCGAAATTGCATTTGATGGCATGTTCGGTACTTGTAGCGGACATTCTTCGGCGTTTTCCATGAAAGCAGATGCTCAGCTCCCACAACGCGGTGGTCCGGAAGAGGTGTTGCAGTCATGCGAGCCTCTAGCACGAGACAGGTGGTGTTCAAAGGCGGAAAGCCGGAGGAGTACGATAGCAAGAAGGAGGCACGCTCAGAACAGCCGAAGCTTATTCATTCCGCAGCCCCGGGTTGTACTAAAAGCGGGAACTTTGTGAGGCGCAGCTGAAGCCACGGGGCAAATTCGCGCGAGCCCTTGGCCTGGACCCGGCCGTGGCCGAGGCAAAGCCGTCTCGTTTAGAGCCATCTTCTCACTTCTACTTCTCACTGCCAGTGAACCCGAAGCGGGAGCCCTAGGCCCTTACAGGCCCGAGAGGCCTAGGCTACAGTGATGAGGAGGCATACGGGTGCATGCTCACTTGCTGGGGGGAACTAAGCTACATCCCACGGACAACGGTCATGTATGTTAATTAGGAGTCCAGCGAATGCAGCCACTGCAGGACACCTCGAAGCCGCTTCCGGTTTGCTTGGTGTTCCCAGGCCTGATCAGCTCCGGTCAGGATTCTGAAGCGCATGTCCAAGAGTCCAAGCCTGTTCTGGCAGGCCAGGGGGCACAGTACGTTGGCATGCTGCAGAAGCAGAAGGACCTCCCAGTGTTGCTTCGTAGACTACGGAAAGTCCTGAGTAGCTGTATTGCACGTTCCTTGGTTTATCTACGGCAGACAAGCTTACACGTGTTTCCATTTCAGAACCTGGACCCTCACCGGATCACACTGCAGGACCTTCCGGCGGTTAAGGCCATGCTCGCAAAAGCAAAGGAGGCGACATCGGAAGCGCAAGAAGTCCGGGGAGATCAGCAGTTGGGCGGGTGTCGCTGTGTTTGTTCATAGTTACGCGCACACTTGTTCTTTTTCATGGCATTCGCTTCGCTGCGTGGATAGTTCTGCTGCCGAGTTCTCTCTGCTAGCACAGGACTCAAGATGTCATCTGCAGCTTATCCCAGGTAAGAGCTCCACGTAAATATTACAGACGTGTATACTTTACAGACCATGAGGCCTGAGGCCATCGCAGCAGACCCGGCAGCTGCTCGCAGGTTCTCGGCTACGACCTGGCAGAGATCCTTCAAAATGGTCCGGAGGACAAGTAATTGCCCAAGATTTTAGCTGACGCAGAGTGCCGGTCGTTCTTGTTTGAATGGTGCCAGTGCCGGTCAAGAGTGTCAGCAACCCCAATGTTCTTTTCATACGAGAGTGAGTATGCCGTGTCCGCGTGAGCGGTTGAGCAACAGCAGCAGTAGCGGTAACAGTGATGGTTGTCAGTATTGTGTTTGACGGTGTTTTTGCTGCTAATTTGCCGTGGTTGCAGTTGTAGTTGTAGTGGCCGCTGCCTTTTCCGTGCCGCTGCCGCTGCCGACGCGGCCCGCTGCTGCTGAGGTGTTGTCGTGGCAATGGTGTTGATGGCGGTTCCTGTTGTGTTGCCGCTGCGTGCTGCTGTTCTTGCTGGTATCAAAGCCCGCATAGCTCCGCATACGGCAGCAGCACTCATGACTGCAGCTTTCAAGCAGACAGCTGTCGAGGTGTGCTCTTTGGTCTACGCTTTGCCGTCAAGTGTCAGTCGTCTTTGACTGAAGGTTAGCAGAGACGAAATACTGCCAACCTGCGATGTGCCGCCCACAGAGCTTCACATGAGGCTGCTGAAGCAGCTACATAGGGTGCATGTGTCCTTGGATTGAAGCACGACATTTCGAGTACTTACACACTCCAGATGCAGTACGGGTATCGTTCGACGTAAGCCCATGTAAGACCACGACAACTGGTCACTAGTCGCGGTCAACCGGTTTCTTAGTGGCAGGGTGCGCAGTTTGGGACCGGATTTGGAGTTCGGTTGGGAGGCCCTGCTCACCAGTAGCTTGGCCCCAGAAATGTAGGTCCTAGTCGTTGCTCACATCTCGAATTCGTGGCCCTGCTTCAGGCCTGCTTTAGTTCCGTGTCTTGGGATCATGAGATGCTTCCGTTTCGACAGCTAGATCTAAGAGCAAAGACGCCATGCCAGGGAGGCTCTGGTTTTTTCCATAGGTTTGATAGAGCAAGATCCATAATTTGATGCCCGGGCTGCCCAGGTACATAGCCGGCATGGCCGCGTTAGAACAGCTTGGAGCCAAGCAGCTGGGATTTGTGTTGCGCCATGTTGCTGCGAAGAGCCAAAGGTGGGTGCACTGATGTCATCGGATGTCTTTGGGGAAGCCTGCATCTACAGAGCCACATTCAGACAGCGCCGCAAACAGACCCCGCTCTTCAGGTTGAAGCTGGAGGAGGAGGACAAAGTCAGCAGATGTCGAGCAGTCGCTGGTGCGCCCACAGCCGCCTCAACCTTCCCGGGAGCGTTTTGACACCCAGTGCGGCATGTTGCCTGAGAGACAGAAGCTTCTTTTTAGTGTTCTGCCCTGAGTCATGAACTTTGAAGGCTCATCAACTGCGAAGCCGCGGCTTAAGTCCCAAGCATCAATCCGGCTCCTACAAGCTTCTACTGCAATCAATGAATATGCCCCGTAAGTAGTGTTGGCAATCACAAAGTCCGCCGCAGCAGAACTCGCCCGAATACTTACTAAAACCTTCGCCACCCCTCGCTCAAGCCAGCATTGTCGGGCTCTCGTAATCACAAGTCGTGAACATGCACCCTCGACGAAGGGCTCTCCTTGGGCGAATACGTCGCGCTGACCGCTGCGGGCGTTTTTGACTTTGAGACTGGGTTGCGGCTCATCAAGGCCATGCTGGGAGCCCTTCTGCTTCTGCTTCCGTCCTGTCTGGCGGAGCTTCTCGGATTGCTTCGTGCTGCAGTGTAGGCTTTGTAGGCTGGAAGCATGTGTCGTTGGCTTGTCTCCAAAGTGAAGCTTCACCTGCAGCCCCAAGCGCTTTCGAAGAAGACAGAGGTGAGCGAGCCGCTGGTGCTAGACTAGCTGACTAGCTGAAGGAAAATCACACTTGAGCAGGTCCGATCTGAGGCCATGCAGTTCGAACTCTCTGGTGGCCGGCCCGGTGCGAAGGCAGGATCACTTGTTGCGCAACGGGAGTTCAGGTGCATGTGGGGGTGTGCTCGAGGCCCAGGGCATGTGCCTCGTGGTCGGCCTGGTCAAGGACGAGGTCGAGCGACTCTGCGCTGGCCTCAGCCACAGCCGAGGCTAAGTCGGCTAAGTCTCTCAGTCTGAAGCAGCAAAACAGCGTCACATCTCTGTTCGCTGAGGCAAAGAGTGCGCTGGCAAGGGCGAAACTTGCCAGATCGCTGCCTGCCTATTCTCGCGAGCTTTCTCGGCCAGGGATCTCAGAAAGCCAAGCATTCAGGAGCAGGCAGAGTGGTGGGTTCTCGTCGCAAAACTCATATTGAAGTTGATGGTCTTGAAAATGGAAAGAGCTCAAAAGAGTTGATTTAGCTCCCATGTGTTCCGCGGCGAAATTCGAACCCCTATCCACCGAAGCGTCAAGGTCGCCGGAAGCCGCTCTGCTGTCGAGTCCTTCGTGGAAAAGTCGCTGGCAGCCGGTGCGTTGTCGTCCCGGCGTAGCTTGGAACACATGGACGATCACAAGTCCGGCGGAACACACTGTGACAGGGCTTTCGTTTGTCTTTCTGCTGTTGTCAAACGATGCAGTGGAGTCGAGACTTGAGCGAGTGGAAGCATTTAAGGCTGCAGCTTCTGTTTGGCTGACCAGTGCTTTGGGCATGTCCAACATCCGTACCCCATCTTACTGGTATTCCCCATGCTGTGGTTCATAGGAAGCAGCGCCATGCTGGAGGCCACTGCCGTGACCTGCCATGACCTCCGGCCAGTACTCATCGACTGCATCATGCATGCCCTTTGAGTCCAGCCAGGCAGTGTTCTCTGCTGAAAAACTCCGGCGCTTTCCAC